ATCAATATTTATTAAAATAAAAATATTGATGAAAAAAACACGTAATTTTCAAAATAATGTAGCCTGACCGTTTTTATTTTGTATTAACATGGCCTTATCCTATTCAACTTTGCAGACGCAACTTTCCAATTCTCTTTTATTTCGCTAAACATTTTTGAAAGCTGCAGTGAAGCCAGAATAGGAGCTATTCTACATAATACTAGGAACTAAATCTAAAATATTGTGAAGTGAATTTCAAGTAGGCCTACTGAAAACGCGTAAGTAGTTTGTTTTCAAAATACTTAGTTTCTTCCCAGCAGGGTGTATACATGGAGAAATATACCAAAGCAATACATAAATGTAGTAAAATATGTAAGTACAGGTCTTATCATTTGAACCATCTGCAAATGCTAACATCAGTTGCCAAATAAATTATGATATGCACTAAAATGACCTTATTTCCCTATAGTTGTGAAGTACTACATTTGGAAATGTAAAATAATAGTAAAATACTTCAAAATTGTAATAAATGACCCTACATGAACAAATATACACATCCCACTACTGCCAACATCCATGCAATTTAATGTAAAAGTAATGAATCAGGGCACCGAGATTCAGATTGACCAACATTGAACAAATGTTTAAATTCTTCCAACACAGAAACTTCAGACTTTCACAAAAGGTTAACATGTGTGTTGGTTATTCAATCCTCTAAAGTCAATGTAGGGTAAACATTCACCTATTTTTGTTGAGTTCCTGAAGCAAGTACTTTGACTCTACTGGTCCAAGACACATATCCAGTGGCGTTATTGAGATGTAAATACTTAGTGAGGTACAAATACTGGTCTTCAATGCAGGACCACAGACATGAATCTCTCTGGGTTATTGATGAATAACAAGCACTTAAAAGCAAGCAAAGTAACACACATTTTCCCAATGCATTTTTTATGTAAAATGCTTTGAAATAATTAACAAACACAATAAATAAAGTGTGGTACATTAACCCATTGCAATAGAATGAATAGATCATACAGAATATAAGTGGAAAATAAAAGTGCAATGAATATCTTTAAACTTAAATAAATTAAGCAGGATTTCCAGTGCATCAACAACATAAATATCAAGTAAGACATACATCTTTGAAAAATATTTTTCCTCTTCATACACAACAATACATTACTTTGGTCACAAAATAAAGCTTAGTTTCATTCAAATAAAGGTTCCCAATTTTAAAAGGCCAAGCGAGCATTACCCTAACATCTTTGTTTCTTGTACATTTCAGGTTTCCATTAGCATTTGCTTATTATGACTGCTTATTTCCATTTAAGCATTTCCCCTAGTTTTATACAAGTCCAATCAAGAACCCACCCTTTAAATGCATGTATCATACATTCAGTAAAATAACTCTACTGTACTGATTACAATTATCCTTCAAAGTCAAATATTCCCTTTCAGATTGTTGTCCACTCCCTCGGGTTACATTGTGCAAAGTGCTGATGGAAAGAGTAAAACCATTTTCAGTACATGTTCATAACGTCCATTCAAGTCCATCACACCTATATTTTTTTTTGTAAAAAGGTATAATTCTCTGCAATTGTAACTGTAAACTACTGCTAATCAAGAAAAAACAGGCACAAAATAAATCCTCTAGTTGTTTTGAAACATGCATTTATGTCAGTGGAAGTTCTACATGCTTATCTGAAGTTAGATAACCTTTGCTAAAATGAGAATGAAGATGTCTCAAGCCAGTCTATAAGCTGCAATAAATAAAGCTAGTTTTTTTCTGAGAGAACTTTTAATATCATCCCAATGCATAAGGTGCATTTTAAAACATGGAATATCTTACAGTTCAAGTTTTCATAAGTTCAAATGTTCTGGTCACCTCATAGAAAAATAAACAGCAGGAAAGATGGACCCAGAACAGAGATAACCTTAATCGTTTAGGCCAAATAAAATCTCTCTAAGATGATCAACTGTGTGTGTGCATGTATGTATACTGTATATATGTGCGTGCAATGCAAATTATATGAGGGGCTACGCTCATGATACATGGTGTGGGGCTTCACTTGTTCTTCTCCTCCAGTCCGCTCTCCGCTCTCAGGGCCTGGCTGCTGGCTGTGATGAAGCTGATCCAGTGTTGGAGCTCTTCTGGAAACACTGGGCATTCGATCTGCACAGAAACACAACATTAGCATAACGCTTAAGCCACAGTCTAGAGCTGGAACAATCAGTCTATGGACAGATAATTATTGGCAGCCACATTCATATTTTTAAATGAGTTTTTAGAGAAAAATAAAAAGCATCCCCATGGTAACATCCTCCAAAAGTCTGATGATTTGAGTTTTCTTTGTCTTGTGTGTTAGGAAACTGAATATCTTGTGATTTTGGACTGTTGGTTGCACAACAACACATTTGAAGGATTTACCTTGGGTTTAGGGTTAGGCTAAAATGATTAGATTATGATCCATCAGGAAATTGATGGAAAATGACTGGTTATTGTTTTTTGGCAGTTAGCGATTCTTTAAGTAATTTCAAATTGTTTTCAAATGTTGTTTGGAGAAAACACAACTTCTTAATTTCATCAATTTGGGTTTCTCATATTTTAATTACTCAACAAAATGATTAGCATATTTAAATAACAGTCAGTTGCAACCCTATGCGAGGCATACCAATACATTCCTCCAGCTCCAGCTGTTTCTCACCTTCTTTTTGCAGACAAACTCAATGATGCTCTCCGGGCTGCAGTGCACCACGTTCTGCCTGCAGAGCATGATGGCAGAGACGAAGCCATCTCTCTTGGACACAAAGCGCTGCTCCACGTAAAACGCCTTCTCGTCCCATCCCACTATTTTGGTCCGAATCTCAAAAGCCTCACGGAAGGCCAGGGAGCGCCGGTACCGGATGGTGGAGGCCCCTACCACCATTCTGGCCCCCAGTTTGCGTGAGGCCATGAACAGCCCGTTTCGCATATAATGGTGGAAGCGGGCAAAGTCACACTCCCTGAGATATCGGGAGTTGTTCATGTGGCCCATGTAGTCCAAATCATGAGGAAGGACCATGCCGTCGATGCTTTGCTCAGCCAGCAGGTCCCTCACTCTGGGTTGGAACGTCGCCTCGATGAACACATGGACCCCCCGCAGGAAATACCAAACATCCAGAGTGCAGAAGAGCAAGAGGAGGGCGGCCAGCACCAGCAGCAACATCTCTCTGGAACAACAATCCAAACAAGACAAGATTCACTTTTATTGATGCCAGCTGGGAAGTTATAATAGGAAGATAACTCTTAACAAAGAATAGAATAAATAATAAGGTACTATGCATCTCAGCATCTTAATGATAAGGTACTTAGTGTTTTCCTGTTTATAAATATAAAGATGTATTATACATATAATATAGAATATGATACACAAATCAGTGTTTATATTAAAACAAAATGATAAATAATAATATAGAATCAGGTTTTCTGCCGAGTAGCTTTTCACAGCATTTACTTTGGTATATAATGTGCACAACATTAGCATTGTAACACCAATGACAGAAAAATATATTGCAAAGATCCAGAATTCTAAATAAATATACAACAAACAAAAATGCACATTTAATACAATAACATAGTATGAAAAGACATACAATATATCTGAATTGTGTGTTTTCAATTTGTAGATTTGTGCAGAATTGGCCAAGGAATATAATGTAGCTTAATAACTAGCTTAGCTCTTTTTTTCTAAAAACAGTATAATATGTGTGATGATATATAATACCAATAAAAAGTGACAAGAATCAAAACTTGCATAAGTGCAAAATAAATGTTACATATTATATTATAGTAGTAGTGCGGTGCCATAGTTTATGACCGCAAAATGCTTACAAAAACAGGAATTATAGGTTTTGTAAATTCACGACCACAATAAATATTTAATCAGACTCCTATGACCTCATCAATGTCAGTGCAGATGTGTAGAAAAACAAGCGATCCGTGGTTCCTTTTTAATCTGTGGCTTAATATCATAGCATTAAATACGGAAGCATCTCGTCGCAGTAATCAGAAGCACAACCTTGAGCTCCGTTCAGATGGATCTGCTGTGACAGCCAAATCTGTTAGCTTAGCTGCTAGCCACCGGCAGTAGATGGCCTTGCAAAAATAGAGACCATAGGCTACCTCCTGACACGTAAAGTCGCATTTATTTTGATCAGGGCTCATTTCTGACATTTAAACATCAAGCACACACATGGTAGACTTGTGTTTTGATGGCTTTAAAACGTACCGTGCGTCCAGAAGAGAGTGTTACCATGGGATGCGATACAACTTGAAGCAACCAGCAACCGGCAGAATGAATGAACATAACTTCCGGGTGTGTGACGTAAGCAGAGATGCTGTGCAGTTCTTCTTCTCTGGTTTAAACAGCAGCAGACATCCTAAGTGGTGAACTACTGCCATCTTCTGTTGTCACTTTACTCCTACATTGTCCGGTTTCTTGTAATTTTCTCCTCCTGTTCTCCTGTATAGTTGTCTTCGGAAAACCCCACCTAATTTGTCCATTTCACCACACCCTTGTATGCTATTCATATTCATATTCTGTATTTATATTCTTTCATAGTGTTAGTTTTATCGTACTTTCTTCAACCAAGTCTTCTCTCTCTAATGTATCCTCGTCTGACTTAAGGAATTTGTTATCCTTTCTTCTTTGTAACACTACACAAGAGAACGAGGGCACACTTCTTCATATTGTAGTGTGTTCACTTTTTTTGTTAACAATAGTTGGGGAAATGTATGCTTTTTCTTCAGTAACTTCCATGTCAAGTAAGTTGCCCTCGTTTAAAAAATGTATCACAATATTGGACACTGCAAATGCAATGGAGTTCCTCAAAAGTTTATTTCTGCCTGTTTTTTTCCATTACAGAGACATACTATAACTGATGTAACAGTTAGTCCAATTTTCTTGTAACAGCACTTCTTAATTTTTCCAATACTTTAGGTCACTTTATATAAATAATAAAATCATTACAGTATATCAACAAGACTTCAAAAGCAATTTGTTTTATTGCTGTAAAAGTACATTACAATTAACTTCATACAATCATAATATTGTATTATTACTGCATGAGTTTCAGCTTCTAGACTCTCGTATGCTAGTTCTTCCAGTGTTGAGTGTAAGTATTTGGGTGCAACTGCAAACATAGCTTGTTTTTTTTTTATATGAAGGCACAAGTGTGTTTAGGTCATGTAATGTGAACAAAGACAAATTCATTTTAACCCTGACATGTTACATTAGCTGTCTTACAAAAAGCCTGTCTTAAAACTGCCCATGCAATTTCTCATTTGCTCTTCTCTTCTAGTCCACTCTCGGCTCTGAGGGCCTGGCTGCTGGCAGAGATGAAATTGACCCAGTGTTGGAGGTCCTCTGGAAACTCAGGGCAGTCCACCTGCAAGAAGCACACCGTGAACTCAGCGTCTTTCAATATTTAAGAAGGTGTCCAATTCCCATGTGTGTTAAATCATTCAATTCTTACCTTCCGCTTGCACAGGTGCTGCATGATCTTGTCCGGGCTGCTGCGTATGATGCTCTGCTTGCAGTACATGACTGCACACACCAACCCATCTTTAGTGGACACAAATCTCTGCTCCAGGTAAAAAGCTTTGTCATCCCACGTGACGATGCGACTCCTCAGCTCGAACCCCTCCCCTATACACAGAGCCCTGCGGTAGCGGATGGTGGTTGCCCCCACGACCATTGAAGCTTTGAGTGCTCGCAATCCCTTAAATACCCCGTTGCGTATGTAGAGGGACAAGCGGGCAAAGTCACACTCCCGCAGGTAACGGGCATTGTTCATGTGGCACATGTCGATGTCATGGGGGCTGACCCAGCCTGTGAGGGTCTGCTCTGCTGTGATGTCCCGGATTTGAGGCTGGAACCAGGCTCGCAGGAGCACAGCAGCGACCCGGAGGAAGTACCCACACATCCAGGGAGCAGAAGAGAACCCAGCAAGGGGGCGATCAACCACAGCAACCACCACATTGTGCTGGTGAAAAAAGGCAGAGGGGTTACTGTGATGTGAAGATGGGTGCAATCAAAGAAGCCAAACTAAAGTAGATGTATGAGAGTTGTAGTGTTTGATTCCAGTTATTAAACAATCTGAGGTAAAAGTTAAAAACAAATCTTAATTAATGAATTATACTCATCATATTGATAACCATTATAAAAGAAAATGTGACAATATCTACTATTATTAATGCCTAATTGTATCGCTGCATGTTTAAGTTTTTGCTGATGTGTCGCAGTCAAAGAGCAGATTTCCCCCGCAAACATGTATTTTATTTATCTCAGTAGTGTTAGAGCTACTCATTTGAACAAATGTGCCTTCAAAAATGTATTTCTTTCAAATTAATCTGCATTTTCTTCTTAGTTTTGTTATAAATTCTGAGTTGCTCAGAAGCATAAATGGAAAACAGGGTATCTTTATCCACGTGAGACTCAATTTAATGTCCAAGATGGTAACAGTGAATTACAACAGCGTGGTTGAAGTTTAAAGTGGCACAACTTTTACAATTCTCACACTTAGCAGGCATGTGTATTTCATTTTATGTTTTTGACAAAAGTGAGTATTGTATTGTAGTGTTTAACCAGCAAAACCTGCATGATTTGAGTGATTCAATGGTTTAATCAAGTGGGCATTTCCTCTAATGTTGACATGAAACTCCCCCCCCTCACCTTTTTATTGTATTTTACAACAGAACCATTGAGATTCAACAAGACTGTTTGAAACGAGTTTCAGTGTTTCCACTTTTCTGCATAACTGTGAAGTGATTGAACTTAACCGGAGAGTAAACAGGTTCTGCAGGAAAGGCAGGTGCTTGCTCAACCTCTCAGTGTATGATCAGTTCAGAGTAAATGGAAAGATCACCACATTTAAAGAAAAGGATACTAATCTAACCAACTACAGTTGTTGTTGAAGACCAAGTTTAGCCAAATTTAAGATTAGTACTCACAATCGTCATGAATACGTTTTATATTAATAACAAGATACAAATGTCATACCATTAATACAGCTTAAATGGCTTTCAAAATTAAAAAAAGACAGAAAAAGTGTAATGAAAAAATACAGGTAGCTACATACAAAAAGATTAGATTTGCAAAGAAAGCTTGCCATTTAAAAAGACACACTTTAAAACATTAACTATAAGACGGTTTAAACATGAATGAAAAAGCATGTGGAACTATGAAACCATATATTGTATGTATGTTTGTTATAAGTGCCATTAGCAAAAGATCACTAGAGCTGAGCTGAACTAAAGAAATCAGTGCCATGCCAGAAACTATTTACACTAAAGAACTGCATTTAGTTTAGTGACACCCAGTCTGGAAATAATTCTACCAGAGGTTTCATTCACAGGAGTCATAATAACCATAGACTATACTATCATAACAACAGTTTACTATAAACGCTGGCAGGTCTGAAGTGCACAACCTGTTGAGGGAACTTAAGTATCGATAGCGTTCAGTGTAACTCTACAAAGAACGTGAACAAAACGATTAACCAAAGATAATATATATTAAGAATCTAAGAAGAAATCCAGTTTAACTCACCTGCTGTCAGATTCCTCCTGCTTACACTGAATCTACTCAGATCTGCGGACTCGACGGCTTTCAATCCATATGATACACATCCATGATCCAAGCATGTGTGTATCACTTCCGTCTACAGCCTTCAAAATAAAAGCATAACCGGAGATGGCGCTGGGTAAAACCACCCGGTCCGTAACTTAATGAATAGGATTTATCTATAAATAAATATATAGATGTTGTAAAATAACACTTTAATATAGTTTGTAGATAATACATGAACTATTTTAATTGTATTAAATAAAACGTAATTTTACTTGGTTCCCGGACGTGACGTCATGTAGAATGGGAGGCGGTGATTGGTCTTTACTGTAGAAATGCTTTTACCCAGCGCCAGAGCCCAAGAGATAGGGCTCTGCTTTTACCAGACTGTATGTGATGGAGTTTTTAAAGAACATAGTATGTTACTTTTACTTAAAGGTAGGTAGGCCTACTGGTAATTCACTTCAGAAACACTTTTTGTTATATTCCATGGAATGCTCTTAACAACCCGATAGCAATGAATAAATGAAATGCTTTGACAATAAATATATACAAATATTTCATCTGTAGAAGCCGTGGCGCTGTAAAAAGCAAGTCCAATTATCTTCCTCGGCAGATAATTAGATGGCCTACCAGCTGTCAGCCTTCCATCTCGTGCACAAACTTATCTCCTGCCCTCATTGGTCATGTTGGACAGGCTCTGAAGGAAGGGGCAGATTTTTTCCGGTTGTGTACTTTCAAATTCTAGCTTACTCGAACTGGCTTCTCCATTCTTACCTACCCTACCTTTAAGTAAACTGTCTGAGTACTTCTTCCAACAGGGCCATCTCTAGCATTATGCTACATTGTCTCTGCCAAATTGACAAGTTATTATTTCATTGACTGGATACAAATAGTTTCTGTTGGATTGTGAAAATGCAGGCTACTTGTTCCCTTTCAAGTTCTCATTAGACATTGTCATAACACTTTTTCAAAATTGAAAATAATTTTAAATGTTGCACTTAGTTGGCTACAAAACATAACTGGGAGCCGCTGAGGCTTCAGTGTAAACCCAAAGGCCATCACTGATGTGAAATAAGTGACACTGAGATGTACTGTATGTACAAATCAAATAGGTATATTACACTGTGGAGAAAAATCAGGCAACTTTTGTATATTCGTTTATTCTGTGTTTTGTTTCTCCAATACTCTCTTGTATTGTTTAGATGAGAGTTCAATTGTCAGTCCAGTTATAGGAGTTATTTTACCAACAGTTTTTCCAATAGTAGATGTTGCATTTCTATCTTCCAGCAATATAATCATAATTCCCAAATTGAGTTAGAAAAACTATTATACAATTTTAACATAAACAAGTTACCCCCAATTTCCCAAGAACATATTAACACTATAACAAACACATATAGCAAATTAAAACAATTACAAAAAATTGTCAAGTCCTTTTTAAAATAATAATTGTATACTATTAAAGCTGATTTATCCTTACATTATTTCTTATTTAAATTAATATTCTCCCTTCTCTGTACCATTGTGTTATATCAACCCAAAATAGTTTGTTTTTGACAGTTTATAAACTTCATAAACTGTCAAATGCAAAACAACTTGAATACATACCATCTTTAATTGCTTTACATTAGAAAGATGAACTATTTGAAAGCTGACAACAACCATTTCCTGCTTTAAATCACTTTGAGAAAAAACCTTGAATATTCTTGCAAAATTGTATTAGTTGCTCCTTTTCACTTATAAAGTTGACATCATTGCATAAAAATACTTTGTGTCAGACTAACCAGCACATCAACATATATCAGTAAACATAACCCCAAACACACATGTCTCAACAGAGACAAATGAAAAGCGTATAGTATATGATTATAAATCAGAAGTAAAAGGTAATGTAATAAGAGCAAGTTGTATCAATAAAAGGAATAGCTGGTTTATTTCCTTCTATTTGTGAACCCGATGTAAATATTCACAGTTGTTACTTAGACGTTAATTTGCCGAGTGCGATGATCCATCACCATTTTCTTCATGTCCTGGTCAGCTCTGATGTCTTTCATTTTAAGCTCAGTTCCTAGGCCGGCTGTCGGATCGTACTGGTGTCTGCAAAAGAGCTAACAACTTTACTGTGAAAACATTTGATTGTGCATATGACAATACGACTTTTGAATCGCAAGTCTTTGAACATGGCTAAGTATTTTTCTGACCATTTTTTGTGCTTGAAAGCCATTTAAAGAATAGTTCATATACAACCATATGGTTTCTCAACAGTTATCAGTAATATACAATACAGGTAATGCATTTTTAGTAAATAACTCACTGCTTCAGGTGTTCCTCAATGGCCTTGCATTCATACACTGTGCCATACACCGTTTTCATAGGATCAACAAACATCTTCTTGGTGAGTGGACAGATCAGATGTTGGGGTATAAACTGTGGAACAGGCTCCACCAGGTGCTTTTAATAAAAACAAAGTGAAGAACCCATTATGTTAAGGCCAAACATGTAAAAAACATATGAAAATATGTTTTATATAAGAGCCCATTTACTTCCTCCATGTCATCCAGTGACTTCCCTGCAGTTTCCTCTGTGTGTTTCTCAGCTTCTCGTTCATACGTCTCAAGGCTCGTCAGGAATTCTTCAGCCAAAATGCTTCAAAAGAAAGAAACAATCTCACAAAAAAATCTGTAGCAACCCTCTACTTTTGCAGAATGATCATAATCAATGTCGGATGTTGTAACAACAAAGTCAAATAAATATTAATACAAGGTAACTAAGGATTTCCAATGTACAGAACATGTTGAGCACACAACAAAGACTTACTGAAATCTGGACATTCTTCAAAGACATATTCAGCATAAAAAAATATATCTTTGTAAAAATTAGCTTAAGGGCCCATAATGGTGACTCATTTGTGAAATGGTTTAAATCGCACCTGTCCAGTGGGTCCTCAGGCTCAGGGCTGATCAGCAGTCCGTACACAGCTTCTAGGATCTCTCTCATGGTGATGTGGGCGTTGTAGTTGCGGTCAAATAAGTTGTGGCAGATGCGACCCACACTGTTGACATTGCAGTGGTACACCTGTCATCATGTTAAGAAACACACGTACATTTCGCACAGATAACATTACCATCTATCTGCATATTATTAAAAAGACAAACACATTTATTTAATAATTGTTCAGTTATTTGCATGTTTGCAGGATACGGGTGTGACAAAGCGGACGAGTGGAGGCTTGGCTGGGTAGTCAGGACCAAACTGGCAGTACAGCTCAAACACGCCTTTCTTATACGGTGTGTCAGGAGGGCCCTGCATGAGAATCCTCCAGAACACTGAGAAGATAAGAACACATTTCGAGCTTGTTGCCATTTAAAAAAAGAATGTATTAGCATGAATAAAAAAACTGAAGATTTACTGTCTATTGTGTTTAATTTCCTTATACTGTACAGCCTGTATAACAAAACTAATACATATGCCCCAGATGCATAACACCAAAATAAGAGAGAAGCCACTTACTGAAGTCTGACTCTGATGGGAAGACTCTGAAGAAGGGATGAGGGTTACAGTGCAGGCTCTTCAGCTCCTCCAGCACACGCTTGTCCTTCTCCAAAAACCTCCCGTTAGTGGACTCCTTAATCTTCTTTTTGAGAGCACTATAAGGTGATATAAAGACAGTAAATCTAACAAAAAAGTATATGTACATACATAAAACCTGGTTATGCAGTTCAAAATCATAGGTCTAAGAGTAACCAACCTTTACACATAATAACTAAAGGTATTGCTCTACAACATGTTAACATCGCGGTACAGAGTAGCTTTACACCCGCTGTGTTGGTTGTAAGACTCCGTCTCATTAACCTAACACAGAACAACACAAGCCTTTTGTAAGTCTGATTGTGATCAATGCAATTTTTTCAGAGGTGACACATTTACTTTGTCAACTCAGCAGGCAGGGTCATCAGCAGATTATTTTTTAATAACCTTTTTTGACAAGGTTTATGATCAGCATCTATATAACTGATGTTTCTATCACTGAACTTTTGTTTACTACGGTTGTATATCTCATCCTATCTTACTCACCTCTCTGTCGCTGTCACTTTGCTGTTGATCTGGCTTGGCAAGGATGTCTCTGGACATTCGTCATACCCATGAGTAGCAAAGATTCTTCTCAAACTACGCTATAAAATCACAAAATCAAATGAATTAGCAGATCAGTACTCCATGTAAAAAAACCTAATGAGTTTGGTTTTGATATCAATTCCAACAGAATGGTGGACAACAATCTATAATATCAAACCTTGCTGATGGAAGAGGGGTCAAGTGTTTCCTTGAGTTTCCTCTGCTCCAATGACAGAACCGTCTCAATCTCAAAGAGCTTCAGACCGTCTTTGGTTGTCTTTGGTTTGAAACAGCAACCACCTGGAGGCAATGGGGAAATGAGGTGAGAAATGAACACGTGTCTGCATATAAATATGTTCAGAGATCCTATCTATGGCAATCAAAACAGACTTTTCAGATACAATACAGTGTCCCATCTTACAAGATGTTTACTTAATCATTGTTATGACCCTGGGTCATTATGTCATTTGTGTGCGGATAATTTTCCCTCCTGTGTGTGTGTGTGTGTGTGTGTGTGGTGTGTGTGTGTGTGTGTGTGTGTGTGTGTGTGTGTGTGTGTGTGTGTGTGTGTGTGTGTGTGTGTGTGTGTGTGTGTGTGTGTGTGTGTGTGTGTGTGTGTGTGTGTGTGTGTGTGTGTGTGTGTGTGTGTGGTGTGTGTGTGTGTGATCAGGTATAGTGCCCGTTTAGCTGATCGGCTGCCTTCAACATGCTGATTGGTCCACCTGAAGAGACAGGAGCATTTAAGCTACAGCCATGCAGTTCCTCTGTCCTCTCTCTCATCGACCTCTCCGAGTGCTCCCAACTCCGTGATCTGTTGTTCTGTGTGGCTTAAGTACCGATTACTGGTCCTTGTTGTATAATTGTGTATCTTTGGAAAGCCAAGCTAATTTAATCTGTCTTGAAGACACGCTTTGATTTGCCCAGGAGTGCGAAACCCTTTTCTTTTGTTCAAATCCCATTTTCTCCTGTTTTTCGTTAGGTTAGGTAAGAAGCCTGTATTTTATTTTACTTATTTTGTTAAGCAAGATTTATGTATGCAAAGGATTATTTGTTTATGTGGGTTGTCTCGCCTCCTTTAAAAATCTGAATATTACACTTCTAGAAGCATGATTCTATAAGTATATCACTGGGATATTATCTAAAGCGCTCTCTTTCAAAAGAGGCCATACCGGTTGCATTGCTGATTCCATGCAGCATGTTATTCTCCACATTTCCAAGAAGGATTGAGTCAACAACGATGTTAGATTTCAGCAGTTTGGCTGTAACTGCATCTGGCTCGATGCAGGATCTATGGAAAGTAAGAAAGAAAACATTGAGATTTCAGCTAAAAGTTAAATTCTAAATCTGTTATTTGTCATTGTTACTTATGACATTATTAATTGTCTTCTTGCTCATAGTTACAGGTGAATTGTTGAGATCTCCATATTAGGTTGAATACTTAAAACGAAAGTTAATTATAATCAAATATACTCAATTGCTCAGTTATGATTTTCTATATTTACAGTACTGTATAAACAAAACACAAGTGGTTTGTTAAGTTGAGTGTAAGGCCTATTATGATTTATGAGGTGTCACTGATAAGAGAGGAGAGACAGTCTCTTCTCACAGCAGTGCACGGGGGGGGGGCTCCTGACTTTTTGGAGAAAGACTAAGGCCCCAAAAAGGTGTTTGTGCCATAGCCGAGAATAGTATTTTGCAAGTCCTACACACTAGAAGCCATACCCAGTTTCCACAAATATAGGTATGGAGGAGGTGTCTTTAGGTTTTTCTGTCCTGTTTCGAGCATAAAAACACTAGCAGAGAGGGAGCCAACTCGAGAGAGGGGGGGGGGGATTCCCCTGGTATGCTCTCTCCCTGTAAGCTGGGTTTTTCCTCGGTAAAGGTTCTCTCAAACTTGGTAAATATCTCTCGAATTTCTTTGCTAAATGCGGAGTGGATTTCTTTGTTGAAAGCTGAATGAATTGATGTGAATAGATTTGTTGAAAGTTTAGCACCCTGTCACCTGTGAGGAAATTCATGCGGGAATAGGTGTGGAATTGATGTGAATTGATTTGGTGAATGAAAGTTTGAATGTGGTTTTTATCACCAACCTTTTATGAGGAAATGCCTCTAAATTCTGTCGGGAGATTTTAATATCACAACTGAATTGGGCAGTTGAAGTTACAATTTAGTGTAATAGATGTAAGACTGTGAATTGCGGTTTCATATTAATAATTGACCACAGCATGAAATATTCTGTATGATTGTCATGTTGTAACGAGAGAAGGTAAAACCCTGTTCAAATGTGGACCAATTTTTCTTCAAAAAAAACTGATCCCACCTTTTGGATTGGGACAACTTAAGACATCTGCGCTCTCCTCTCCTGCTTTAAAGGTAAGATTGCACACTGCCACACTCACACTTAGGTAGGGCCACACCTCATTACTGATATCAAAATCCTTCGGGATCGCTTAAACAGATTTAGCGGGTCGTCTTAATATAAACAGCAGTTAATTGAACCTGAATCTTCAGGAGTTAATAGAGGTGAGATCTTGCTGACGTTGGTGGCCAAGCAGTAAACGTACATAGACTCAATAACTTCTGTTAGGTCAATTAGTAGGTCTTGAGTAATTCGCCGGAATAAATTATCAGGCCTCCCGACTCCAAGAAGTATGAACATGATATTATGGCATGATTCGAGGAAGTAGTTTACCCAGAATCATTTCCATCAGTAAGACACATGATGCGGAGTCTACAATCTGGAAACCTCGTCTTGACCTCTTCCAGCTCAGACGCCCCCCGTCGCAGAGCGTCGTACAGCAGAGTGCATCCACTTGCTTCAATGTTGCGCATGTGTTCCTACAAATGTGAAAAAGAGGTTTATCACTGCTTTACAATCCGACATAAACTGTTCTTAAATTAAAGACAAATCCAAAACTGATACACTGACTTTACCTTGAACGTCTCCAGATTTTCTGTGAATGTGTGAAGAATTTTCACCAGGGAGTCGAACTTCACAAGACCGATGATGTGACAAAAATCATAAGCCATGGTCCTCGTAGCGAAGTTGTCAAAGAGCTCTTTCACAGCGTGGATCTTCTGTATTTCTGCACTTGCATAGCACTCTTCCTCCATGGAGGAGCTTGTGTCTATCAGCACCTAATGAACATTCAAGTCAAGAAAATCATATTGTGAATGTGAACAGCCCTGTCAGTCTCACATCTTTAAAAGAAACGTTCAAAGGAGAGACAGACAAAGTTACCAGTATAGCCTCTTTTGGAGTCCTGGTTGTGACAAATGTCCGGCCATCACCATGGTTACCAGTCCTGTGTTCAATGTCAACAAAGGTTCAGCAGTCAACTGACAGCAAAATAGTATTGTGAATTTAAAGTGGTGCATAAAATGTATATTTAAATAAAAACCACAACAGCAGAAACATCGTGGCTCTGGCTATTACTGTACAGCACATTCTGTACTACGACGTAAGATGGTAAATATGTGTTCTTGAGCCATTGCCAAATGGTGTTGGGTGAGGTCCCAGTGACCTTAAACTTTGTCCACCAAACCCTAATGAGTTCATCCTTAAGTTAAAGTTCACTTTTGTGCCAAATGAAAAAAATTCCCTTGAAGCGTCCCTGAAATATCGTGGTCACAATAAGACAACCTGAAAAATACCTAATCTACCACCGTCAGGGAGGCCTGACAACTATGATGTGTATAAAGTATACAGAAGACGCCCATGAAGACGCTGGTTAAAACTTTACACGTGTTCTGAATTTTGTGGAAGATGAAAAAAATAATAGTCTGCGGGTCTCAACTTTTTCTTATGCTCTGATGAGACGAAATACAGTGTATTATATATTTATATATATTTTTGCTTACATTTTTAAATACAAAAATATTTATATGAAAAGAAGTAGGATGCAGCATTTCCAAATGAAATATATTTTTATATACAAAAGAAAATAGATTAAAAATGTATTTCTTTTACACAGGAATGGAAAAAAAGTGAACGGAAATATATTTGAGTGCTTCCTTGAAAGTTGAATACAAGATACCGTAAAAGTGCTTACCTGGCTGCCAACAAATTCACATCCACTGTTTTGTTTTTGCCATCCAAACAATCAAGTACTACGATCATATCAGGGGAACACTTCTCTTTTCTCAAACACACGCCAATGTTGTCTGACGAAGAGGGAAATAAAACATAATAATTAAAATAAATTACATTAAAAAGCTTGCTGAACGTGGAACATTAATGTCAGAGGCAATATGGAAACCAATGTGAGGTCCCTTTCAGACTGTTCGAGAATAAGGTGCACACTATTAACATGTGCACAGCCTTTAAATTATATTATTTTTCACCAATATATTATAGATGTATAGTCTCAGATATATACAAAACATGTCTCTGAAATGTGTGGCTCTTTGGATCAGGGGGGAGCAGGTTCGAGTCCCACTGCAGCCAACATGTCGTTGAGTCCCTGGGCAAGTAATTTAACCCCAATTTGCTCCTGTGGGAATTTTCCACATTATTGAATGTATTTAAGTCGCTTTGGATAAAAGCATCTAACAAATGACTTGTAATGTAATGTACAGTAATGCGATACCTTGGTTGGTTATTGGCTAGTTGTTGCACAACCCAAAAGACAGTTGTGACATCACAAAGTGCCCAAATCTCAACAGCTAATTTTCATGTAAATGGAACAGGACAACATCATTTATGTAATGTATTGTATCATAATATATTGTATTGTGTTGTACTCTAGTGCTTGTTGAAGCATTGTATTGATAATGCTAGGCCACTATTTGTGAAAACCTGCACATAATCTGCAGATGAACATTAGATCATTAGCTAACTGGCAAATTCAGAGAGATAAACACTGAAATGTTGATTAAAGATACAAGATACCATCCTCATTGTGATTGAGTACCTTCACTCAGTAGAACAAGGCGTGCCTCACACTGTCCTAGTTCCTTCAAATGCAGAGGTGGGGTCACATTGAGGCATTGATTGTCGGGAGATTTTAATTCTTCCATCATACTTCCAAAAGTCTTCTCATTGTTGATCTTAAAGCTTTAATTAAATTGCACAGGTTAGTGAAAACTACTCTGATGTCTTTGCAACAGACAAAAGAGAAAGCATCTCATTGAAGTTATATTAAGAAAAGTAAAACTGTAATGATAGTTACTTCTGGCCAGCCGTCTTGACCTTGTGAATCCAAAGAGGATAGGTTCTGACGAATGGAGGCAGACTGAGTAGAACTTTCTCAATGTCGGTGGCTTTCTTTATTGATGTTCCACGCAAAACCTCTTCAGTGCAGTTGGGAATCTTCTCTCCATCTAAACAGAGGCAAGAAAATGAAATGAAGCAGAGTACAGCACCATTCAATAATAACTTGTTTTGACTGTTCCTCTCAGTGTTCATTAAGGGATCAGCTCACAAAAAGGGCCTCTGCTTCCATTTGAACACATCTTCTATGATATGCCTCTTGCACAAATCTTTATGTACTGTATGATCATTTCATGACAGTTTTACCTTGGATTTTCTGGCAAACATAAGCCCATTCCAATGCTCCAGGTACTCCAGGTACTCTGACTGGCTCAGAGAAGCGGCTGCCATCTTCAGACGTCAGAGTGATTGGTGCGTAGTTCTCATGGTTCTCTGCCGGTTTCTATTCAAAATAAGGCAAGTGATCATTACTTAAGTGGTCAACATTTGATCAAGCCATGTAGCCTATCACCTAAATATTGATGGTTATCCCTTACCAACAAAAACACTGGCAATTATGGACAGATTTCACAAAAAAAATCATTATTTATTTAACACCACATGAGCCTTTTTGGTCAAGCCTCACTACCCTCATACCTTTGCTTCTGATAGGAGATGTGCCCAGCAGTACAGAGAGTTCTCAAAGACATCCAGGTCCTTAATGAGTCTCTCTCCTTGTGGTCTTCTACGCTGAGGAAGGATCTCTCTGAAGAGGAGGTACAAGCCTTCTACCACTGCAATCTACAACACAGGGACAAGCAGGTCTAATGAAAGGGGAACTGATAAAAGGCACATATCACCGTGTAAATGTTACATTTACCCAAATTATAGGAAAAACATCTTTCCTGAAACAATGCAGATCATTTGAATTAAATCTGCAGCTGTGACAAATATAATAAAGGTGAACATATTTTATTTTTGCAGGAAATGTTCCAAGATGGAATTGTTTTTCAAGCAAAGTATTCTGTGCAAAAAAATAAAATAATTTACAGCACAAGTTGTATGTTAAAATGTTAAATCACACATGAGAACACACATTTCAAAAAGTACAATGGATATGAAGGAAAAACATCACTCATATTGTTTACCTTCTGGTTCCTGGTTAGGGTTTCATTCCTGCAGAACAACTGATGCAGACTTTGGGCAAGAGGGTGACATCCAGTCAGATTCCGTATGTAGGCAATCAGTTTCTGCAGTTGCTTTGTTTTATAAGTACTTTTCTAGAAGAAGAAAAACAATAGCATAATAATTGTTAGATACCAATTGCATTGTGTTAGTATGGAAAGATCTAATTTGCAATACCTTTCCACAGGAGGCTTAAAAAAAATGCATAAATCAAAGTCAGTTCCAACCACATGACTTACCATGCACACAATGACAATGCTAAACAGATATAATCTGTATGATTATGATCCCCCTAGTTTAACATTTTAGCATTGAAATATTTGCCTATTAGTACTGAATGCAATTGGCAGCTGAGGTCACAGTTCAAAGTATTTGACAACTTGGGGATTGGACCTAGTTTAAAGACGTTAGATTAAAAGTGAATCAATCACAAGAGTTATACTGATTCCTTCTGAAGGGGAAAATAAATGTCATAGCAAATTATCCAATAGTTGTAGAGTGGTTCTGAAATGTGCACTGTTCATGTTATATACATTGATACTTACAACAGCATAAAGTGAAGACAAGAACACACTGATTCCTTTCTGAGTTTGTGGAACTGAAGGCAAAAAATCATTAATGAAAAATGTCTCGTTGTATGAAGTCTCGTGAGGAAATGAGGACAAAGAGAAGTTAATGGTTGACCCTTCAGAGATCCCACAACTCTCCAGAGTGTCATCACCACCATTTGGATAGCTGTACAGGAGAAAACACAAGTACTGTGTGAGAAATGTAATCTGCCTGTATTGAGAAAGAAGAATCAGCATTGGTTTGACGATTAGATAGTTACTCGTAATGAAGGACATGTTCTGGGATTCCACTTTTGTTAGCCAGCTTGAGTCTCAGACTCGATATCGTGTCACTTGCCAACTTCACCGTCACCTGAAAGTCTCCCTGTATGTAATAAGTAAATAATAATGTGCTGGATTGCAAGTATATCATTTGGTCATTGAATTATATAAAAAATAAGGCCATAAATCAAAGATATTATTAAATGTTAATATCATCAGTAGTTGCTTAATGACCATAACATTTAGACCCACCTTGAGCATGATGTGGCATCGAACAATATCGCTTCCAAGGGTTTCAACAACCTCTCGCTTTGGTGTTTGAGGGAACTGTTTCAGGTTTTCCCTTGGCGTAAAGATTGCATAAATCACAGCTCCATTTTCAATATGTCTGTCTTTCAAGGACCCTGTGTAAGCAAAACAACATTTGAAATGACATGGTGGACTTGTTAACAAACATTTTCTTACAATAAAAAGAAGAGCCGAGTCATGGTTCAACATTACGAATGCTTCCATACCCTTGTAGTCACTGTTGGACACAGAACCGTAAAAAGATCTTGCATTTTATCATGAGCAGTTCAGGTTTACTCACATGTGTTGAAGAAGGGATCATCTGTCAAGGGCATCCCATCGATGGTGTAGAGACAGACTCCTTTGGAATTACCAACACTTTCAAGATGGCAGATCCTCATCATCAGATCCTCAACTGTGTTTTTTGCTCGATCCATATCTGTTAGATCAAAATTACCAATGTTTTCAGAAACACATCTCAGACCACATCTAATTTCTAACACGTCACAGCCCACTGTCTGATAAATATTGGGCTACTTTGTGGCAGTGGCTAGCCCTGGTTCATCTATTGATAAAAAGTGGATAATAAAAATATGAGCTCCTTTACCTGTTATTTGTTTTGGTTGAGCACATTTGGGGTATGTGTACTGCAGACTGAAGGACTTTAATGATTTGTGCACAGGCGTCACAGTTTGAACCTGCTGCTCCGGAGCTCTTTGAAGAAAGTTTGTCATCGCTGAAAAGCGGTTCTTCTCCACACGACTAAAACCTGCAATACCGGTATTTCAAAAGTCAGTCAACTTTATTGTCATTCTTTCAGTTTGTGTGTACAGACAGAAGAATCGAAATACTGTTTCCCACAATCGCAAGGATTACAAAATACAAAAATATATATACAAAAAATATATAGGCTATAGGCTATATGCCTACATATAGCCTATGTAAAAACACTAGATGTAGATGTCATTGTTTTTTACTGAGTGTCTGCACGTTTGACAGTCTTTGATTTCAAGTTGAAGTTCATCTGACTCACCCATGTTGTCCAGATCTTCATCTGTAACGCTATCCAGGAAATCTCTTGAATCCTTCACGCCCAGCTGGACCAACTGGTTGCAGTAAGACTCCAGTCTGAACTGCTTAAGTGTGTTGAGTATTGCATCCATCTTAACAAACACATCAAGATACATTATTTATTTACAGGGAAGGAAATAAATCTAGAACACTAAATTACTCAAAAGGAGCCCTACTTAAAATTAAGGTTATGCAAGCAACGATGTGTCACATTAGGCTACATACATTTGTTTGGTCGAAACAAATGTTAGCAACTTGGAAATTAATGTCCCTTTGAAACGATTTAAAAGTAGCATTAAATACTGAATTCAGAGTAATAGCTGACCTATTTCTTTTTCAAAAATGTACAAAACCAGGTCCATTACACATGAACGCCATTTTCATAAATGCTTAAAGTGATAAATTAAAAACGGTAAAGTATCATAACACAAACATATGCAATCGTTCTTACTGTAGTTACAATGATGTCCTCGGTAAAGCCCGGAGAAACACCAAGTCTGTAGCAGCATTCGTCAACAGCAAGACAATTCAACGAATTCAATACCTTAGGGTCATTTCCGTCAAAATTATGTTGACAATATATTAAAATCAAGTCGAATTTAATACATTCAACCCCAAAGAACCAACAAGTTAACAATCTTACGTTGTTGTTGGTACACTACACGGTCATCAGTTTCTGTTCATTGGAGGGTGTGGCTTCAGAGGAAACGAAACTAATAAAGCGCACCTCAACGCAGCACTGTCATTAAACATTTCAAAAATGTATTCGTGAACTACTCCCTCTTGAAAGTTTTAGTATGATACAATGTTGCTTTGTTTTTACACCCTTTATTAACAGGCTTGTGTCAGACTCACTGCATGCCACCTGTTCATTCCAGGATAAGTTGGGTTACTCATTACTGATTTGACATGCCATAAGTGCATGTTCTGTCATGTTATTAAAATGTCTGCAAATTGTTAGCTTTCTTTGGCCTGCATATCCACATGATTTAAGATCAAAACAAATGTATATTTATGGAGAGATAAGAGCCAGTACTTGCATCAGAAATCCTATTCAGTGTTATATAATATATTCATTTAGTGCTTGCATACAGCCAATGGTGCTGTGAAACGTAGATTAATGGAATAGAGCCATCATTAGGTGAGTCTTTATACAAACAATAGAGATCATTTTGTAGAGTCCAGTCTAATGTGCAGTTCAAACATCCCTCAGTAATTGTAACTTATTAACCTTGTAGTTGAATTATTTGCGTTTATCATAAAAGCAGGACAGCATAGTTTGTTACACATAAACAAATAAAAAGATTTAAGCACCCGTTTTCCTTGTTGTCAATAACTGAGTTTATTTGTATGGATGCAGACACTACTGTGAAAAGTAAATCAATGTATGCAACCGACAAGGAATCATGCTACCAAATATAATTGTGAGTCTGATGTCTTACTACTGTGTAAATATATTCAGATATATAACTTTCACAGAACAGCTTTACGTACTTGACACCCTTGTTGGAGGGACTGCATGGAAAAACTTGTTGATTATATCCAGCTGTCTGTGTCTCTTGAACACTGTGTCTGACTTGTGGCGCCCTCAAGTGGTATATTGGGGGCAGTAATGAACTGTTTGTTTTCCGTATAGATGCCTATGGCTACAAGGTTTTGTTGTTGGGTGATGTCCTCAAGGAGGTGGCGATTGTCTATGGAAGGCATGTCAAACAGAAGGCTCAAAATTCAGCCAAATTCAGACAATAATACATTTTTTCAAAGCTTTTAAATGCACGATGACAACTTGATTATTCTTCTATCAATAGTAAGACAAATGCAATGAACTGAATTAAATATACTCTATAACATGCTTTTTATTGACAACAAAGTTTAGTAATAAAACTGTGAAAAAAGGACATTGTACAATCAAAAGTTAACCCCAAACACGCATAAAAACAATATGGAAAGTGATGTCAGGAAGGGAGTGATATAACATGCAAACTTTCCCAATAAACAGGATGAATAAAGCGCCAAAAAGGAACTATCGATAAAAAGAAAGTAACTGGGTTCCTTTTATATGTGAACTTGACTTGAGGTACACTATTGTAACCTAGAACCTAATTTGCCGAGAGCGATGATCCATCACCCTTTTCTTCATGTCCTGGTCGGCTCTGATGTTGTTCATTTCAAGCTCATTTCCTGGGCCCGCCAACGGATCGTAATGGTGTCTGCAAAATAAATCAAAAGTAAAAAAACAATTTTAAGGCGTTAAGGTTTCAGGATTAATTACAAGCGTTGACGTCTGAAGGTTGACAGCCCTAGTTTAAATAGAAGGTGATTTCTAGCTGTTTCCTAAACAGCCATCAGTTATTTACCAGACAGGGAAAGCATTCCTAGTAAATTAACGTACCTCTTCAGATGTTCCTCAATGGCCTTGCGTTCATACACTGTGCCATACGCCGTTTTCACAGGATCAACAAACATCTTCTTGGTGAGTGGACAGATCAGATGTCGGGGTATGAACTGTGGAACAGGCTCCACCAGGTTCTTTTAATAAAAAGTGAACAAATAAAAAACATGTTAAGGTCAAAATGTAAAAACGTATCCACTGTAAATATGTGGGTGCCCATTTACTTTGTCCATGTCATCCAGGGACTTTCCTGCAGTTTTCTCTGTGTGTTTCTCAGCCTCTCGTTGATAGGTCTCCCGGCTCGTCAGGAATTCTTCAGCCAAAATGCTTCAAAAGTAAAAAAGAAACTCAGCATCAGAGTCAAATACGTGATATTTTAAAGTTAATGAACACCTTTCTGACCTAAACTCCCACAAAAACAAAGCATTCTGATGGCAGTATATTTTCAAAGAGCTACTGTAAAGAAAAAAGGTTTTCAATTTACCGGTTATGTTTTTGTAAACCTACATTTCTTGTCCCTGATTTCCTGTTCCATCTCACAGAATGAGAATAGGGCAGCTGCACCAGTTATTATCTGGCTTCATATCAATTGTTTGTATCCTGAATAATAGACAAACTGCTGTTGTGTTCGTTATGGAAAAATGTGTTTTGTGCTGAGACTATTCTGACAACAAAAAATGCCCCTTCTTCCATAAAAAATAAATAAATAAATTACTCAAACATTTGGACTTCTTAAATAAGCTAAACATTTCCACCATACAGAACATAAATATGCATGTCACCTGTCCAGTGGGTCCTCAGGCTCAGGGCTGATCAGCAGTCCGTACACAGCTTCTAGGATCTCTCTCATGGTGATGTGGGCGTTGTAGTTGCGGTCAAATAAGTTGTGGCAGATGCGACCCACACTGTTGACATTGCAGTGGTACACCTGTCATCATGTTAAGAAACACACGTACATTTCGCACAGATAACATTACTTTATACGTGATTACCATCTATCTGCATATTATTAAAAAGACAAACACATTTATTTAATAATTGTTCAGTTATTTGCATGTTTGCAGGATACGGGTGTGACAAAGCGGACGAGTGGAGGCTTGGCTGGGTAGTCAGGACCAAACTGGCAGTACAGCTCAAACACGCCTTTCTTATACGGTGTGTCAGGAGGGCCCTGCATGAGAATCCTCCAGAACACTGAGAAGATAAGAACACATTTCGAGCTTGTTGCCATTTAAAAAAAGAATGTATTAGCATGAATAAAAAAACTGAAGATTTACTGTCTATTGTGTTTAATTTCCTTATACTGTACAGCCTGTATAACAAAACTAATACATATGCCCCAGAAAAAAAAGATGCATAACCTTGAAGCCACTTACTGAAGTCTGACTCTGATGGGAAGACTCTGAAGAAGGGATGAGGGTTACAGTGCAGGCTCTTCAGCTCCTCCAGCACACGCTTGTCCTTCTCCAAAAGCGTCTTCTTCCAGGACTCCTTAATCTTCTTTTTGAGAGCACTAAAAATGGAATATGATTATGCGGTATTCAATCATAGATCATGCAGTAACATTTTACAAAGACGGCAGTTCTGTGGCACATTTACTTTGAATGCTCAGCTGGTCATCAGAAGATGGATAGCAAAGTAACCTTTTTTAATCAGGTAATTATCAGCCTCTGTCAAACTGATGTGTATATCCCTCACCTCTGAGTCGCTGTCACTTTGCTGTTGATCTGACTTGGCAAGGATGTCTCTGGACATTCGTCATACCCACGAGTAGCAAAGAATTGTGTCAGGCAATGCTATAAAATAAACCAATAAAGGTACATTTAGAAACCAAGTCAAAACAGTATGTCTGTGTGAAAAAGTAATGTTTTACGACCTATAATATCTAACCTTGCTGATGGAAGAGGGGTCAAGTGTTTCCTTGAGTTTCCTCTGCTCCAATGACAGAACCGTCTCAATCTCAAAGAGCTTCAGACCGTCTTTGGTTGTCTTTGGTTTGAAACAGCAACCACCTGGAGGCAATGGGGAAGTGAGGTGGGACTGAATAGAGATCTATTTAGAGTACATATCCATGTTCTTCAAAACAGATTTCTGAGTTACAAGATCTGCTTTTGTTTTCTTACTAAAACACTGAAGGGTAATTTTTAGGGCCGGGACTTTAACGCGTTAATTAAGATTAATTAATTACACAAAAATTAACGCATTTTAATCGCACTTATTTTTGCACCGCGGAACGTTTCTCACTGGATGAGTTTCAGGCGTACCGATTATACTGGAGCACCAACTAACGTTCATGACTTCAGACAACAACAAACCACAGTGAACAACAGTGGGAAATGTTGTTTTAAAAAACGGACGGATGGAAGCGTTGATAAGAGCACGGTTGTGTGCAAATTATGCAAAAAGGAATTCGCATATCACCGCAGCACATCAAGCCTCAAGTATCACCTCAATGCAAAAACATATAGCAGCTAGCGTGGACGTTAGCCTCTTTTATCGCGTTCACACCATACAGTCTATGGTTCACACCAAAAAGAGCCGGTACTAAAATTAGTTCATGAGAACCTTTTTACCCCCACGAAAGTCCCTGCTAGAGAGCAGAGAGCTGCTAGAGAGCAGGGACTTTCGTACGGCTCTCTTGTGAGAAAAGAGCTATATTTCTGATTGGCTGGGCGGATTGCAAACCACGCCCCGTAAAACTCCCAAAAAGTTTGGTGAAGCCGCCATTTTATTATCCTCGCATTAGCATTATTAGCATTAGCATTAGCTCAGCGCAGAAACGCAGAGAGACTAACTTATGGCAACACAAAATAAAACATGGGAGCGGTGGAGATGAGGAGGTGTCGGCGTTCTGGCGATTTACTCGGAAGGCTTCAGTAGAAGCTGCTGGGACTCCCAGCAGCTTCTACTGAAGCCAGTCCCTAACTCCGGGGACTTCCGGCCGGGGACTTTGGGCGGCAGTATACGCCGTGAAGTGGTTTGCGGCCTGCCAGTAAACCCAAAGCAGAAGAAGAAGAAGTGACGTCAGCGGCTTCATTTGTTCTCATGAACTAAGTTCTCATGAACCTTTGTGGGAAAAGTACTGCGGTGGGAATGCGCCTAATGGTATACTAAAATCCATGTGAAAAAAATTGCTTCTCACTGTTCTCAGGTCAAATATTTATATGCGATAAAAAATGCGATTAATTTCGATTAATTAATTACAAAGCCTCTAATTAATTAGATTAATTTTTTTAATCGAGTCCCGGCCCTAATGAGAACCTTTTTACCCCCACGAAAGTCCCTGCTCTCGAGCGGCTCTCTTGTGAGAAAAGAGCTGTATTTCTGATTGGCTGGGCGGATTGCAAACCACGCCCCGTAAAACTCCCAAAAAGTTTTGTGAATTTTATTATCCTCGCATTAGCATTATTAGCATTAGCCCAGCGCAGAAACGCAGAGAGACTAATTTATGGCAACACAAAATAAAACATGGGAGCGGTGGAGATGAGGAGGTGTCGGCGTTCTGGCGATTTACTCGGAAGGCTTCAGTAGAAGCTGCTGGGACTCCCAGCAGCTTCTACTGAAGCCAGTCCCCAACTCCAGGGACTTCCGGCCGGGGACTTTGGGCGGCAGTATACGCCGTGAAGTGGTTTGCGGCCTGCCAGTAAACCCAAAGCAGAAGAAGAAGAAGTGACGTCAGCGGCTTCATTTGCCTAATCCTCCCCCAGGTTCAAAGAGTTCTCATGAACTAAGTTCTCATGAACCTTTGTGGGAAAAGTACTGCGGTGTGAATGCGCCTAATGGTATACTAAAATCCATGTGAAAAAAATTGCTTCTCACTGTTCTCAGGTCAAATATTTATATGTGATTAAAAATGCGATTAATTTCGATTAATTAATTACAAAGCCCCTAATTAATTAGATTAATTTTTTTAATCGAGTCCCGGCCCTAGTAATTTTGCCTTGTAAAACACAGACACAAATTCTTAAATGTCAGTTTATGTCTGGCTGTAAAGCAGTAAATATGCATTTATTTAAAAAAAAAGAAATGCTATATTCATCACAGGGATCTTATTTACATAACTGTCTTTCAAAAGAGGCCTTACCTGTTGCATTGCTGATTCCATGCAGCATGTTATTTTCCACATTTCCAAGAAGGATTGAGTCAACAACGATGTTAGATTTCAGCAGTTTGGCTGTAACTGCATCTGGCTCGATGCAGGATCTATGGAAAGTAAGAATGAATTGAGATTAGGACGTTTGCTCGATTAGAAATATCACAATCTGTGATGTGTCATTGACAGTATAACTTGCTCACAGTATGAGATTCAATATATGCACCAACAGATAAGTATGAACATGATACTATGGCATGATTCGAGGAAGTAGTTTACCCAGAATCATTTCCATCAGTAAGACACATGATGCGGAGTCTACAATCTGGAAACCTCGTCTTGACCTCTTCCAGCTCAGACGCCCCCCGTCGCAGAGCGTCGTACAGCAGAGTGCATCCACTTGCTTCAATGTTGCGCATGTGTTCCTACAAATGGGGAAAAAGAGGTTTATCACTGCTTTACAATCCGACAAACTGTTCTTAAATTAAAGACGGATACACTGACTTTACCTTGAACGTCTCCAGATTTTCTGTGAATGTGTGAAGAATTTTCACCAGGGAGTCGAACTTCACAAGACCGATGATGTGACAAAAATCATAAGCCATGGTCCTCGTAGCGAAGTTGTCAAAGAGCTCTTTCACAGCGTGGATCTTCTGTATTTCTGCACTTGCATAGCACTCTTCCTCCATGGAGGAGCTTGTGTCTATCAGCACCTAATGAACATTCAAGTCAAGAAAATCATATTGTGAATGTGTACAGCCCTGTCAGTCCCACATCTTTAAAAGAAACATTCAAAGGAGAGACAGACAAAGTTACCAGTATAGCCTCTTTTGGAGTCCTGGTTGTGACAAATGTCCGACCATCACCATGGTCACCAGTCCTGTGTTCAATGTCAACAAATGTCATGCTCATGCTGTTATTTACCAAAAATATGGACCCAACTTATAAATTGTAATTCACTGAATGTCTCTTTATTGGTTGTGTCTGTCTATCCAACCATCCCTTAAAAGTCAACCAACACAAGAATTTAGGTTCCCAATTCATCCAATTCCAGCCATAAAGAAAAAAATATTATTTTGGAGTGCTTCCTGGAGCCTGGGAAAGGTGAATACAGAGTAACAGGTGCTTACCTGGCTGCCAGCACATTCACATCCAGTGTTGTGCATTTGCCAACCAAACAATCAAGAACGTTGATAGTTGCAGGGCAAGCTTTGCCCACATTCACACTCACGCCAATGTTGTCTGACAAAGAGAGGAAATAAAACAATGTTCATTAGAAAGCATCCTAAAAATTAACTAGGGAAGTCCCTTTCAGAATGGTCAAGAATACATTTGTTTCTGCACGGCCTTATGTTTACAAATAATGCACCATATTTTTAATGATTATGTTTTGTGTGATGACTGTTGACACTCAATATCACAGAGATTGCTAAACTGTGATTTCTAGTTAGACGCGTGCGCTCTCCAATGACCAGTTATTGCTTGCAATAGGCATGGGAATTTGAAAGCAAATGTATATTCGAATATTCGACCCCCCAAAAAACGGTTAACCGAAATGTACATATCCTATAAAAAAAAAATTGGGTATAAAAAATATTTTCAAAAAAATGTTTCAGAATTTTAATTTTTAATTTTTTCAATAATTTTTGGAAATACATACATGTTCAAATAAGTGTAGAAACCAAGTCGAATTTGTCAAATGTATTGATCTGGTGATCACAGTTCGACAGCTATAGGCCTACAGCTTTCATGTGTGGAGGCAATTCACAATCAGCCCAGCTGTAGAGAAGACCCTCTCAGCTGGAACGGAAGTTGCGGGTATAGCAAGGTATAGCATATATATAAGTTTAATTTGGCATAGTTTGACCTCTACCCCGCACTCACAAACCTGGTCGAAATATTTCCACACATTACTCCTTTTTGACGCCATGTCTGTTGTGTAGGACTCTTCTTAGAGTGTAAATAATTACCGGACTATGACTGGTAACATATGTTGAATACCGGCAAAACTAAATCTCTCCAGTCAAAATGTCTATGTACTTTGCCGCCACACACGGTTGCCAAGCAGCGCTTATTGTTGTTTAGGCTGGCCACTCATGTGTCGCGAGTGTTGACAGGGGGCGGGGGAGCACGCTCATGAACTGTTAGCGCCGGAACCTCGCAGCGGCTGCGGAGCCCATTTGCGCCACATTTGGGCCTAAGATGAGGTTTGAGTCTGCGTGATCTGCCTGTAGGGAGGGGCAGCAGCCATATCATTGGCTAGAACTAGCTAGATCTGATGGATTTGGACATAAACACGAGTGAAGTATAACCGGACACGAGAGAGAGAGAGAGATCAGCACCTGCAGCTCTGCCCGCTGTGACGGAGCGTCCACACTACAGCTTAAAAAAAAAGCTTGGAGCTGGGCGTGTCTGAAGCTTGGGGATTTTATTCGAGCAACGCGACCAACAACCAATCACATGAATCTCCCGCCCCCGACATACAAAGCAAAAAACCCCGGGGATTTTATGCGAGCAATATATATATATATATATATATATATATAAACTCCCCAAACAGGCGAAAACCTACCAGTTTCACCCACTGTCTCTGCCACCTCCCTCCATGCCTGGTTCTTCCGGTTTGTATCCCGGTAGGTGAAGAGGGTCTGGTCATACAAAACCGGGTGATTTGCTACGGCGATAATTAGTTTCTCCTCCATCTTGTTTTGAAATATAGAAATGAACGGCGGGATATCTCTCCCAGCTTAGATGCGGTTTGATTGGCTAGGGCTTGAGCTGTCAGATTTTCAGAAACGGGATTTGATTGGCTGGCGCTGGCTACTCCGGCGTCCGGAGACGGACCACTATGCTACCCACAATGCTGTTCGGCGAAAAGCGAGGCAACGTGACGTCACCCCATTCAAAGTGAATGGGCAGACGCGTTGGAAACCGTTTTTGAAGCTGTCGAAGCTGTAGTGTGGACGGGCCGTAAGGGACCGGTGAGCGGAGCAAAACACACCTTTAGACGTCAACTAACACATTTAGCTATGGCACTGTCGTATATATATACATTGAATTATTCAATTTGATAATATGTAATGAACTTAGGCATCACTCCCAAAATAAAAAATAAATAAAAATATTCATAACTCATATTCGAATACCTGAATAATCGTTCCCATCCCTAGCATGCAATACCATTTATTTAAACCAAAAACTGTGTGAGTAGCCGGTGAGGTCACTTAAATACCCTGTTCCCCATTATGCCATCCAGTGTCCAAAACAAACAAACAAAACATAAAGGGGCACAACAGTAAGTACATTTAAAGTAACTGCTGCTGTCAGACATTTTGTCTACTTTTGTAATTTATGTAGTGTTTCCCCTAGGATGGAGTCATAGCAGCGGTGCTAAGGCAAAATGTGATCGCAGAGAGCGTGGAAGTTTGTGTGTGTGCGCGTGCGAAGTGCGCCCCGCCAATATGTGCCTAGACTACATACAGTGGCAATGTCTCAAGATTTAGCAAAATCCACCTTTATTGAACATACAGTAACACAAATACTACAAATCCACATAAACAATCAACAAATATGTGTTTGCTATTTGTATATAGGGGAAACACTGATGTATGTAGTTTAAATTAAAGATAAAATTGAAATGTTGATTAATGTGAATTGTTGCTGTAAGTTAATACAAAATATTTTTGGTGAAATTACCATTTAAAAACATACAGTATATGTGCAGTCAGAAATGACCAATGCACATTGTGATTGAGTACCTTCACTCAGTAGAACAAGGCGTCCTTCACACAGTCCTAGATCCTTCAAACGCAGAGGTGGGGTCACATTGAGGTATTGATGGTCGGGAGATTTTAATTCTTCCACCATACTTCCAAAAGTCTTCTCATTGTTGATCTTAAAGCTTTCATTTAAATTGTACAGGTTAGTAAAAACAAGGCGTTTTTCAAAAAAACAGAAGTCAATATGAAAGAAGGTGTACAGAGTAACTGATGATCCATACTTCGGTCCAGCCGTCTTGTCAGGGTGAATCCAAAGAGGGTAGGTTCTGATGGATGGAGGCAGACTGAGCAGAACTCTCTCAATGTCAAAGGCTCTCTTCACCGACTTCTTTTGCAAAACCTTTTCAGTGCAATTAGGAATTTGCTCTCCATCTAAAGAAAAGGATAGAAAAGGAATTGTAGCTGGTAGCACCATTTGCCAATAAAACAAACACATTTATTTGACAAATGCGTTAGTTTGTATAAATGCCAATGCTGAATGTTCTTTATATTTTGTATGTCCATGCCATGTTAAAAACAAGTCACCCTTAGAAGGTATGATGTTAGGCTCCAACTGCATTAAGTTCGAATAGCTTTTCATTTAATCAACTCATTGGGGGCTTTCTTCACAGCTTGTTTCAGGATTCAGAAGGGCCTGCAAAATGTTGCCATTTACCATTTTCTGTAAAACAATAGCAGTTTGGATATAGTAATGCTGAATGTTGTCAAAAAGTAAAACAGGGGACGGGATCAGTAACGGACAGAGTTGCTTTGTGTATTTTTGTATTTAAGTTCTGCTCTATTTTATACATATATGATGGGCATCTTGTTAACAAATATTATGTATGAGAATGTTTACGACGATTCAGTTTTACCTTGGATTTTCTGCCGAACATAAGATCGTTCGTAGGCTCCGGGTACTCCAGGTACTCTGACTGGTTCAGAGAAGCGGCTGCCATCTTCAGACGTCAGAGTGATTGGTGCAAAGTTCTCAGGGTATCCTGATTGTTTCTGTCAAAATAAGGCAAGGTGACAATTACTTAAGTTTTCAACCATCAAATCGGAAAATACATCCTTGCATTTCATCAATATGAATGGCAACTCTCAGAAAAAGATGAAATATTTATTACCACACAAAAAGACTGGCACTTGTGGACAGATTTCATTAAAAATAATATATTATTTAACCCCAGGAGCCATATTGGTCAAGCCTCACTACCCTCATACCTTTGCTTCTGATAGGAGATGTGCCCAGCAGTACAGAGAGTTCTCAAAGACATCCAGGTCCTTAATGAGATTCTCTCCTTGTGGTCTTCCACGCTGAGGAAGTAGCTCTCTGAAGAGGAGGTACAAGCCTTCTACCACTGCAATCTAAAACAGAGGAACAAGTATGTCTGAACAAATTGACAATGGTAAAAATGTCTGTGAGCTAATTACAGGAAAACATATTTTCTTAAACAATGCAGATTATTTAAATGACACCTGCTATAATGAAAGTAAACAGACTTTGTTTTTTGTAGAAAAATGTTCCAATAGGAAATGTCTTTTCAAAAACCAATGTGTTTTAAATCACTGATATTGTTTACCTTCTGGTTCCTGGTTAGTCTTTCATTCCTGCAGAACAACTGATGCAGACTTTGGGCGAGAGGGTGACATCCAGTCAGTTTCCGTATGTAGGCAATCAGTTTCTGCAGTTGCTTCGTCTTATAATTATGTTTCTAAAAAGGAAAAATAAAATGTTAAATTCACGGCTTTATTGCTAGATTGGACTTTAATTACCTTTTGTAGTCATTTGTGAATTTTTCATGCTAGTGTTAGCTAGTTAATTTTATTTGATAAGGACATCAGATAACATTAACAAGAACATGCACCAGATGGAGTGTGTATCGTGAAATGAAACTTACAACAGCATACACTGAAGACAAGAACACACTGATTCCTTTCTGGGTTTGTGGGATTGAAGGCAAAAAATCATAAATGAAGAACGTCTCGTCGTATGAAGTCTCGTCAGGAAATGAGGACAAAGAGAAGTTAACGGTTGACCCTTCAGAGATCCCACAACTCTCCAGAGTGTCACCACCACGTCGACCTCTGTACAGGAGAGACATTAAATCTGACTGTTGACAAAGAATAATCACTTGATATTTAAGCCATAAAATCAGCATTGGTGTGATGATTAGTTAGTTACTTGTAATGAAGAACATGTGCTGGGATTCCACTTTTATTTGCCAGCTTGAGTATCAGATTTGTTATTGTGTCACTTGCCAACTTCACCTTCAACTCAAAGTCTCCCTGTATGAAAGTACAAATTATTAACAACAGACTTGGTTTTTCCCCATAAAATATTCATTGCAATTTTGCATTAAACTTAAACGAATTCCAAAGTATTTAAACTGTAGGTTAAGTAGGTTTCAAAATACATACAGGTTCTTGAATTAATATTGAAAGGGCTGTGTAGATAAACATATGTAAAAAAACGTTCAAGTATAAATTCTGTAAATGTTATTAAAAGAATGGGTGTATAATATGGTCAGTGAGTTTTATTTTTAAAGCAAAGCTATAAATCAAACATGATCAGCCTGTACAATAATTATGACAAATACTATATCAGTGTTTATTTAATCAATAGTTGATTATAATCACCAATTAAGTTTACACGCACCTTGAGCATGATGTGGCATCGAACCATATTGCTTCCATAGGTTTCAACAACCTCTCGCTTTGGTGTTAGAGGAAACTGTTTCAGGTTGTCCTTTGGTGTAAACATGGCATACATCACAGCTCCATTTTCAATATGTCTGTCTTTCAAGGACCCTTGGGATGAAAAAACAACTGACATGGTGAAGTTGTTTCTGTATAATGTTCTATGATCACTGCTCTGCTGGAGCTGAAGATGTGGCCTGTGATGTCTGCACAGGGAGAAAACTGAGAGCCTGTAAGTCCTGCCTTATGTGTTTGGCCTCTTATTGTGACAAACACCTCCAGCCTCATTATGATGTAGCTCCATTGAAAACATTCAAGCTGGTGGAGCCCTCCAAGAAGCTCCAGGAGAGCATCTGCTCTCGTCACGACGAGGTGATGAAGATGTTCTGCCGCAGCACTGATCAGCAGTGTATCTGTTATCTCTGCTCTGTGGACGAACATAAAGGCCATGACACGGTGTCAGCTACAGCAGAGAGGACTGAGAGGCAGAGAGAGCTGGAGGGGAGTCGACAAAACATCCAGCAGAGAATCCAGGACAGAGAGAAGGAGGTGAAGCTGCTTCAGCAGGAGGTGGAGGCCATCAAAGGCTCTGCTGATAAAGCAGTTGAGGACAGTGAGAAGACGTTCACTGAGCTGATCCGTCTTATGGAGAAAAGAAGCTCTGATGTGAAGCAGCAGCTCAGATCCCAGCTGAAGAGTGAAGTAACAGGCTGCGGAATTGATATAAGTCAAGCACACACTCATAAGCGCTGTTTTTGGTCTCTTCAATTTGTTTATGTTTCATTATGTTAGTTGGAATGAGCTGTGAAATGTACAACTGTTCTTTTACAGCTTTTCCTCTGAAAACAGTGGCATGCCAAAACACCAAAAAAGTAAAGATGTGTGCTGGAAAACCAAAACTAATTGCAGAGTCAAGGTTCAACATTACAGATGTATTCAGGACTTATGTAGATTAAACACAGAACTGTATCAGTAATGCTAAAAAACTAAAATCTTGCCAAACATAAACGTTATCAACCAGCTACATGTATTGTAAAAAGTTGTTCAGGTTTACTAACATGTGTTGAAGAAGGGGTCATCTGTCAAGGGCATCCCATCGATGGTGTAGAGACAGACTCCTTCGGATTTACCAACACTTTCAAGATGGCAAATCCTCATCATCAGATCCTCAACTGTGGTTTTGGCTGGATCCATATCTGTTAGATCAAAATATCCACTGTGTGAAGCTCTCAATATGTCTGTGCAATGATCACATTTCATTTCTAAAATAAAACAGCCAACTCCGTGATCAAAAAGTCAGCGGATGGCTTTAGTGCATCTTATGATCAGAAATGTGTTCCTCTTACCTTTAATTGTTTTTGGTTTACGACATTTGGGGAATGTGTACTTCAGATAGAACGACTCCATGGATTTTTGTACAGGCGTCCCAGTTTGAACCTGGTGCTCCTTGGCTCTTTGAATGGAGGTTTTCATTGCTGAAAAGCGGTTCTTCTCAACATGACTCAAACCTGTGAAAAAGTTACCGGATTAATTAAGTATATCATTTTTATAACAACATTTAACTTAAAATGACTTGTTTTTACTTGAATGAATGCTTAAATCAGATACAACTTTGAATGAAAATGCAATTGAATTACATCTCCAGGCTTAGAAATACTAGATGCAACTGTTTTTTCTACCGAGTGTCAGCTGTATGTTTGACAGTCTTGGATTTCAAGTTGAAGTTCATCTCACCCATGTTGTCCAGATCTTCATCTGTAACACTGTCCAGGAAATCTCTTGTTTCCTTCACGCCCAACTGGACCAACTGGTTGCAGTAAGACTCCAGTCTGAACTGCTTAAGTGTGTTGAGTATTGCATCCATCTTAAACACAGGAGGATACTTTATTTACAGGGAAGGAAAGAAGATTAGGATTTGCTCCCCTCAAGTAAAAGTACTGCTACTTGAAAGTGTGCTGGGTAAAACAAATATTGCAAGGTATAGTTTATTTAATATCTTGATAATATACATACACTTTTTCACCAATGATTTTCAATGACTTCTCCATGACCTTTACCTAATTTTCCATGACCAAAAAATTACTCTCAGCGGTACCACTGAAAATTGTTTATTTTAACATGGAACAGGAAAATAAGGTCTGAAACATGTTGTGCTTATCTAAAACAAATCAAATAGTAGGCTTATTAGCTTATACAGGCTAAAGCAACTAAAATCTCTCACCAGAAAAATACCTCAACAGTTAAATGCCATTTTACGTTTCATTACTATAGTATTTATTATCATTATAGTATTACTATTTCGGCGATTAGATAAATATTGTTTTCCATAACTTGTCCAGGACCTGGAATTAGCATTTTGAATTTCCATGACTTTTCCAAGTTTTTAATGACCGTAAGAACCCTGTATATAACAATGAAGCATGTTTTTATTTTTCTTTAAATCAATAAATAGTCTCTACACCACATGGTAAATCACAGTTCCTATACTCCTTAAATACTTATATCCATCGACTGTAGCCTATAGGTTGTTGAAACGGTTTATACTAATTTAATTAATTACTGTATTGCAACATAAACAGCTCCAAACTCAACAAAAAGTACCCGTGTAAAGATGTACATAGAAAAAAAGGTCAGTTAAAATGTACCATCTTCTCAGTCCAGCTTCACCTACCATAGTAGGCCTACTATACATGAAGATATTCTTTCAATTATAATATAGTTACTTATTTAGTACCCTGTTACCAGTTCAGTCTTGTTTCGTAAATGGATAGTTAAACGATGTAAATGTCGCTGGTCTACAGCATTGCTAGCAAGGTTTTAGCTAAATACTAATGTCAGCATGCTAACCACGTGGTGTGCAGTCGGGCATCTTAATGTTTAAAAGTCTCTTATTAAGCGAATTTTGTAATACAACTTATAAAAACAGCCAATTTACAGTGTTTTACTAAGTTTTAACGTAAGCTAATGCCTAGGTTTGATAACTTAGTATATAGTAATATTGTCAGTCACCCTCCATCATGTCTCATTATCAGGTGCACTCACTGTTTTTTGTATACATCTCGGGCTGAAAGATGCTCTGTATTCACAAGTATGACAAAGATAAACACTCAAAAACAGCATAACGTTTTCACATACCTCACTGAAGGTCGATGATCCTCAGTTACCGCAGAAATCACCACCAGGAGAATCCGCCATGTGCTTTTAGCAGCAAATGGCAGTAATGTCACGTGCTGTGCCAACCGAAGCGCGTGTCGGGTAATCTGGTGTTGTGCCGTAGTTCACGGCACAACATCGGAATGTAAAGCTATATTCTTTCTTTTTATCTCTTTAGACCAATGCTGTCATTGATGAAACGCTAAGACGAAACACAGTTATTATGTTATTGTTTCTGAAAAAGTCTCTCGAGTCCTCTACAAAGTCACACACTCACATTGATGGCCGTCTCCCTTGTTAAAACCTGACGTTAAAACACTACTATCCAGTTTCAGAAATCCAAAATGGCCTATTATATTTTGATAGGCTAAATCATATTTTGACAATATGATTAATTTACACACATTTGATGAAAACTAAAGTTAAATAAAACAAATAGGACCACGCCCACTCAGGAGACAGGAAATGTATGATGTCATTCCATTGGTGGAATTTATTTTAACTATGCCACGGTAAAATTACAGTATGCTCACCTTAACACAAATCAACTTTTTATTATTGTAGATCTAGGCTGCTGTTCATAATCCTGATCCTAACACATTGGACATATCGTTGTAACTCTGCCCTCATGAGGCAGCAGAGACACCAGCAGCTTCAGAAAGGTAAACACACTTCCTCAAGTGTTTTTTATAATGGCATTAAAATCCTGCAAATCGTTGAAATGTTTGGCCTGCATATTATCCACATGATTACACTCATAGCGCCAGTACTTTGTGCATTTCATAAACAGAGTTCATTGGATTAAATTAGAGCTTTAAAACAGCAAATGGCTCCATGAACCACAGAGAAAATTAGATTTCAGTCATTATGTCCATTTTAAACATCTCTCAGTCATTCTAAAAATGATACTTTGTGTTATTTTAGTTTATCATTAAAGCAGAACCTAACCCTAACACACTACATCTACAAAACACATTTTCTCAATCAATCACTTAAAAAAAAGTTTAAGCACTCGTAATTCCTTATTCATACATAATTTAGAGTTCATGTTTATTTTAAAGGATGCAGACAAAACTGTGAAATATTGAAGAGTGAAACAATTTCAAGTAATCATGCTACCAAATATAATTGAGTCTGATGTCGTAACACTGTGTAGGAATTGCCCAGACTAGACAGTTTTCTAAAAGTTTGCAATATCACAAAAAACAACCTCCCTTGCATTTTTCCTGAAACAGATGCAAGATTCCTCGACCATCTTTACGTTGAGACACTTTTTGGAGGGACTGGCTGGTCAAACTTGTGGACCCTTTGTGACTGACTTGTGTCGCCCTCAAGTGGTATTTTAGGGGCAGGAAAGAACTGTCTATTTTTCCGTATAGCTGCTGGGTGAACGCTTGTGGCTACAGGGTTTTGCTGTTGTGTGATGTCCTTCCCAAGATGACCATTTGTATTTATATCAATTCCATTGTTTCTGTTCATTATGTCCATTTGTGTAGGGGAGCTCAGTTTCAGACTGAAAACTCTCAGAAGAGAACTTCTTAATGTCATCCTCCATCTGCACTGACAGTAAACTACCTCCACAGGTACTATTCTGTTGCCCCTTTTTGGTCTTTGGTTTCCCAGTCGTTGACACACAATGTTCAGTATTGCTGCTGTAACTTCCTGCCTCACATTGACGGAAAGAGGGGACACTATTGAGGTTTCTGGACCTCAAGGCAGGGCTGCTTTTTCTCTCAGTCTGGGGCGACAGATCACTCTTTCTGCTTGGCCTGTGAATATTGGCATTGGATGAATTTCTTGGAAAACTAGGACTAGAAGTTAGGGTCCTGCAATGGGGACTGGCACCATTTTGCTCTGGATAAAGACTGCAGTCTTGTAGGGTTTTTAATACCATCTGGTCCCTGGTAGACCCTGGAAGTGAAGTAGGGAGGTTTGCATGCCTAGAAGTTGAGATCCTATAGATAGATGTTTGTGCTTTCCTAGCTCCAGTGAAGGCGGATGTGATTATATGCTGTCCATGAGTCCTAGTCAGTGAAGAGCTATTCATCACTTTAACTGATGATGAGGTCTTGCTGGGACGGGCGCCTGATGGAGGCCTGGGTGTAGTATGACTCAGAGGAGGAGGTGGATGTGGCTTTAGGGCTGTGGTGGGGCTCAATTCTTGCACACCCTCAATAGAAACCCTTGATGGTAGACTAAGGGAGAGGAAGAAGTAAAGTAAATCAAATGTTTGAATTCAAAAGCAACATTGTGCAAACATTGTGTCATTGCTCTCTTCATTAAAATGAGATCCTTTCTAGAGGTTGTAACAGCATAACCTACTAACCTGAACTTGTTTTTCAATTTCTTCAAAGGGAGAGTAGAAGCTGGTTGTGAAGCAGAAAGCGAAGAAGGGTACAGCTCCAAGTCCGATTGTATAGCTCCTTTAAGCTCCCTTAACTCTGCACACACAACAACAACAAAAAAAGACTTGACATTTAAAAAAATATGCTGAAACACACTGTTTGATAAATACTTACGTTTCTGAAGATAATTTAATGTTTGGCTAAAGATTCTCTTTATATATGAGGTTTTGTGTTTTTCTTTTTGCAAATTGAAACACACATTTAAACAATTGTGTGCTGAATGTATAATATTTGGTTTAATACAAAATATAATTGCTGTTTTACCTAGACTGCTTAAAGTAGTTTTACTGTTATTTTAAAATATTTGGATGGTTGGATTGGATTCATAAATTTGCTTCTGAATCATTTTTACCAGCTAATTCAGTTATGAGGTAATGTCCAACTGAACTACAGGTTAAATGGGACGTTACAGATAAGAAAGAGAACTCTTTCAATACACTTCATACCACCAGATGGCAGCAAAACACAAGCATGTACTCACCTGCAAGCGTAGGTTCTGAATTATCAAGCTCAGTGGGACACTTTTGTGTAATATTTCCCTGTAAGAAACATGAGACACAGAACAGAAAGAGACACAGCTTAAGTTTATTCATACATTTTGAGATTACCTAACATAATGCTATTGTATAAACTAGGACACTTTAGGCCTCTGGTGATAGAAGTGGACTTGCAAAAATAGCAGGTCAATGTATTAAACATATTTGAGAAGGCAAGAGCAAACATGGAAATAGCAAAGGAACAAGGAAAAGGCATAAAAATAACAGCGGGAGAAAAAGGAATGTGTTTGACCACTAAACGATTGAGCAGCAGTCTTTCATCATAATTTGGCCTCAAATATCTCCTGAGCAAATGAAAACCAAAGTGTGTGTGTGCCCATAAAACCAAAGACCGATTGTAGTTCATAGGTTTTCTATGAGTGACTGGCAGCCTACTCTCCCCTCCAAACACTAAAGCTCTAATGGAGAGTTGTAATAGCTACTGCATGCTTATACTGCATGCTTATACTCTAACTCACACAAAAACACACAAAAAAAAAACATACCCACTGGCCTGGTGAGGTGACTGACAGTTAAAATATATATTTTGAGTCTGTTTCTCCTCTGGGATTACAACCCAAACCTCCCAGTGTTGTGTTTCAGAGCTGCAGACAAAGTGTGTGGTGTCTCTGACAGTGAAATGACTGAAATCTACACACACACACGTACACACATAGTCTGAAAATAGGCTTTGTGGTCCGTGTGGGGTTTGAACCCATTACTACGGGGCTGGCTTGCTTATATTTAAAGAAAGCTGTATTTGTATAGATGACTCTAGAACCCAAATCTACATACAAACACAGAGTGTCCCTCAGCTTATGCAGAACCAGAAACAGGAGAGCAAGGGTCACAGAATCCAGCTGAAACCAGCTACTGATGGCTGCCATCTGTTTCGCTGAACTATGATGGCCAATTTTATCTAGCTGGTCCACCAGCAGAAATCTGCAATATCCTGATGGAAGATCTGCCATAAACTGCTGTCACCATCTGGTCACACAAGCTGCATCTTTTGACCACGATGGTTCAGATATTCAGTAGAGTATGCAGCTCAGACTGCTGACAGTGGTTTAATTGTGATGAGTTTAAGTTATATATCTCTCTTTAAAATACCTAAATGAATCCCTCAGTAGGTTAGTGGAGAGATGAATGAGTGAAGGGGCTGCCATACTGTCCACACTCCAAGCAGTGCCATCAGTGTTTGCTCAAGGGTAACTGGACAGTGCCCATGAGGTAAACTGGCACCTGTTTAGCTACAAGTCCACACTTTGATTTTTTTTAATGAACAGGAAAACCATATTTTGGTGTTTGATTTTTAAATCTTTACTTAAAATGTCATTAAACTTGTTTTGTCTTTCTTCAATATTAACCGAAGCACATGCAACGTGGAAGATAATAATGAAAATAAATATATTTAAAAATCCTTAATTTGTAAGCATTTACAACCTTGAGCAACATAAGGCCAGCTCTGCCAGGTTTAGAGAGCAAGCTCAGACCATCTCTGCTTACTCCAGAGACAAATTCCTCACACAAAAGCAAACATTACAATATGAGGAACTATGCATGCTGCACAGCTGATGATATTATTCCTCCCACCTGTGCTTTGCAGACAGTAACTGAGAGACTGAAGCATACAGGAAGCATTGAAGGTCTAGACTGCACTATTATTAAGATCAGCAACAGAAAAGGCCACTTATATACCAATTTTAGTTTCAGTATATTAACATTTAAAGCTGCAGTACGAGTGTAGCTCATCAAATAGTTTCCACATCTTGAGGGTGATGAGAAACTATTTTCTCTGACTGACTTTACATTCCACACACACTAAGACTGTGTGTGGAAGTCACTATTGGACTGTTGCTGGACTAAGTCATGGTATGAGGCTCCCTCCTGCTGAGAGATAATGGGTTATTAAAGTTGTGTTTAGAACACATTTCAGGATTCAATCATACCGTATCAAGCTTCTTGATTTCTAATTTGCCTCTGTTGAATAGTCTTTACATAATTTGACTGCATGGAATGACACCAAATCAATAGTAATCTCAGTTGCTTCAAACGTGATGAGAAAATCATGGCAGAAGAAGGACACTCAAAGTATCTTGACTTACACAACTTATTTTCGTTTGCTTATTTTGTGTACAAGTGTACAGCACACCTTTATTGCAAACACTGTAACAAGATATTTTCTGATATTTAACATATGTTCCACATAAAACCTGCAACAGACATAGCTTATTATGAAAGGCCTAGAAACAGATGTTATTTTAGACCATAACAGGGGTGCATATGGCATGGATGATAGCGTTGGGAAAAATTCTGAGTTGCGAGGGATTATCAAGACTGTTGTATGAACACATAGTGGGTTGTTTCAGGATTAAAAGCTGATATACTAGATTGTTGGTGTCAAAATCATACCTGGCAGCATCTTGTGCCTGCTTCTGAAACTGAATGTCACATGTGTTTTGTATCTGGCTGTCTAATCAGGATTAGCTATTGCATAGGAAATGAACGTCATGTCTGGAATACTTTGAACCAAGGGTCAAACTGCATTGGAACAACCTTGTAAGTAGTTAATTAAAGAAATGTGTAGAGGAAACTTCTGTGTAGCATGCAGTGGAGTCACCGACTCAGGAAGGAGACACGGGAAGAGAGAGCTTTGATGTCAAACCACTGTGATTTATTTGGAGTTGGTACCAGAGTATTCACATCACACATCCAAGAGTCAGAGGTTCTGACTCCACGGTAGAGTTGCCACGTCAATTCTGGAGAGCCTCTCTCTTGCCAGCCCATCTAACTGGTTTCGCAGAGAGTAAACAACATATTTGAGGAGATCGCCTAAACAGTGTGGGAACACAGAGCTACTTGCCTCGGACACCTATGACCTCGAAGATTTTACCTTGGAGTCCACAAATACAGAGAAGGAAGTGTCCCAGTGTACCCACAACACAGACCATCTGTATCCCAGTATTGACCGGTCACAGAATGGGAACAATAACATTATTGGCTAAGCCGCCTGTGTCCTTAAAGAAGGTAAACAGACATCGAGGTTTGTCCTGTATGTTACTAATTGGCGTCTTATGATAATTATTTCCACAACAAAATGTAATGTATTTTCAAACGCTGTGAACAGGGTTTGAACCTGCGAGAGTGGATTTCCACTCCAACGCCTCAACCACTTGGCCATCACAGCTGCTCTAATGATATTTATTAGAATGATTAAGTTACACTAAAAAAAATCCTTCTTAGAAATAAAAACAGCTTTGTCAATTCAATACATGGCCAGAGATTATAACTGCATTTCATAGTTATTTTTCTATATAGAAAACATAGACTTGAAATGTTTGGGAAATGGACACCAAGGAGTTTGGCCATTTGACACTAACGTGCAATCTGGAATAGACCTAATCTGTTAACATTTTGAACCAAGGGGTCAATCCTGACCTGCAGCAAATAGTCAACTGAAGAAGGGATAACCATCTTCAAACGCTGTGAGCAGGGTTCGAACCTGCGCGGGGAGACCCCATTGGATTTCAAGTCCAACGCCTTAACCACTCGGCCATCACAGCTGTATTTGCACTCTCTTATTTAATCTGTTTCCTACAAATATTTTTGTTTGAAACATGGATTTCAACATTTGTAAGCCTAAACTACCCACTATCCAGTAGTATCAAGGGTTCAGTATGCTGGAAAAGGTCAAAGTTCATGTTTTGTCTCAACCCTGTACAAATAGCTGATTGCCTTTTGAAGCGGGCTTGAATGTCGGTGAATAGTCATTCTAAAGGCTTTTTGATATGGTAACAACTTAAAATCACAAAAGGATATTGCTGGCTACAGAGTAATCCCTTCCAAGGACCACTGAGTCATCACAGCAGAGCGGCAGTGATGCCTTGCACATCATCGACGTCTCCCAGCAGTGCACAATAAGCTCATGCTATAAGAGCACGGCACCACCTGAGTCACAGCTTCCCTTATACTCACCTGCTCACACACCAAACACCAACACTATGCCTCAGGAGATAATTCCTTTACAGGGGAAATGACACACTTATGTTTCCTGAAGGATTTTTTTTGAAAAATACATTTTACTGCATTAACCATAAATGCTTCATGACGTCAAAGAACAGTTTAGTCCGTGGAAGATTACTCTAATAATGTCACAAAAACACCCAGTTTAATTTGTTTTGTTCAGCAATAGGGAAAATGCCCGATAAGGTTAACAGAGCAACATTTAAATATGTCTTAATTCGACATACACGATAAAACTCTATCGTTACACCATGTTGACTTTTGGCTCTTAAAAACCATCTGAAACATATAAACTTCAATAGTTGCAATGTAAGAATTTAAGACAAACACACAAAGCACAGTGAGTCAGACATAACCTCCACATCTGGTCTGCAGAAAAGTCTTAATTCAAGTCTCTAACTAAGTCGCTCTGGGTCTCTCATAATGTGAGACAGGCATGACAGTGCAGCCACACTGTATGTAAGTGTGTGTGTGTGTGCGCGTGTTTGTGTGTGTGTGTGTGTGTGTGTGTGTGTGTGTGTGTGTGTGTGTGTGTGTGTGTGTGTGTGTGTGTGTGTGTGTGTGTGTGTGTGTGTGTGTGTGAGTGTAAATGTGTATGCATGTCTGCATGTATGCAGGCAGGCAGGCAGGCCGGCCGTGTGTGAGTGTAAATGTGTATGTGTGTATGTATTTATGTATGCATGTCTGCATGTCTGCATGTCTGCATGTATGCATGTATGCATGCATGCAGGCAGGCAGGCAGGCAGGTACTGTACTGTATGTAAGAAGCACATTTGAGTGATTGGAGAGATCGATCTCACTCAGCACTGCACATTTTTTTGCCAGACAGATGGAAAATCTAGTTAGACTGAGCCCTTGCAGGTTTCCTGTGTGTGTCTGCGAGTTTGCGTGCAAGTGTGCATGTGTTTTTGTGTGTGGATGGAAACCTTGGCAGGGTTTGGTGCCAGTTTGCAGATCTACCTGAGGGAGTTAAGCAGGAATTTAAACTTTTTCTTCTGGAGGAAAAAAAGTGCCCATGGTCGAGAAAGTCAGTGTCTTTTTAGTGGAAATTATTAGCATTGTTTAGAATACATCATAGGATAATTTCAAAGTTATGCACAAGGCAGCTGAATATTTCCTTAAAGGTGGGGTAGGTACGTTTCAGAAACCGGCTCGAGATACACTTTTTGTTATATTCCATGGAATGCTCTTAACATCCCGATAGCAATGAATATCTAAAGTGCTTTGACAAAAAATCCATAAAAAAATGTCATCTGTGGAAGCCGTAATACTGTAAAAAGTACAACCAATCCGTTTAGCCGGGCCGGCTAAACGGATTGGATTGCCGCCCTGTCTGTCAGCCTTCCATCTCGTGCACGCACAAATGTATCTCGTGCCCTCATTGGGCGTGCCGTCATTGGGCGTGCATTGCGCGTTCATGTGTGTTGGAGGAGGTGCTCTGTAAGGAAGTCTGAAGGAAGGGGCGGATTCTTTTCGGCTGTGTACTTTCAAATGTTAGTGCACTCGAGCCGGTTTCTGAAACGTACCTACCCCACCTTTATCATTTAATAGAGCAGTATTTAATAACTATATACAATTATAAAAAATACATTTTCTAGAGAAGATTTAGGAAAAGGTAAGCCATAAAAATGTTGCCTAAGGAATGGACCCATATACTGTAAAATAAAAAGGATGTCCATACAGCACAGCTTCATCATTCAGTATCCTACAAGGTTATTTGATATGAATACTGATTTTGAAATCCTTCCCAGCTGCATTAATATAGCAAATGTTTATATTTTGGCCTGGTTGTACATGAATAACTTTAGGACTTGGATCAGTATTGCACTGGCAGCTGAAAAGAAAATAAGATTAAAGATTAAATTGGCAGTTGGCTGTTTATCATCGGGCTCTTCTTACCCTGAAATGCTTCACCAGCCTTTTCAACGCCTCACATTCCTCCATTAGGACGGACCTAGTTAGATAGAGATACAGATTGAGTTAGAGATAGAGATAGAAGGCAAAGAGAACAATTGCAAATCTGACGAGTATACACAATATAACATTCCCAATGTTGGAAAGGCCCACAGTGATCAACACTGATAAGCACAATAGTGGCCCCTAATAACACAACTAGACACGGTTAATAGAAAATGTGCACTTGGTGTATGCTTAGATTTTTAACAACTATACTGAGATACAGTGTCCTATTTTCTTTTCAGCCCCCCCCCCCCCTACACACTTTCTCCCTCCCTGGTTATATGATCACAATAGACTTTTTTTCACTTCTGTCAAATGAAAAAGACAGTTTGCCGGCTCTGGGATGGATTTTCTGACAATGGGGCCTTTTGTTCTGGTCGAGTCAGGAAATGGGAAAGAGAGGGAGAGAGAGAGAGAGGGAGGCTCTCTTCCAAGGTGGCTCGAGTGACTGAGTTGCCCCGTGGGCCTCAAAGTGAGGGATGGAGGAAGGAAAGGAGGGATGGAGTGTAAAGGAGGGAGGGCATCAACAGAAGCCATTGAGGAGAGTTGAGGGGAAATTAAGGGGGTAAAGAGGACAAAAGGAAAGCTTCGAGGAACTCACTGACTGAAAGAGTCTGAATTATATCATTATTTAAATTGCCAAGCACACAATGAAGCGTCACAGCTAGTTAGTATTTTATAACACATGTTTTTTGGTGTTTTACCAGTAGTAGTTTACAAGTTTCAAGGGGGTTATAGTTTGATTAAACTTAATAATTGTATTCCTAATGTTTTTCTTTAAATACAAAAACTAAATTGACCAATATAGGAAAAATCTCTGTTCAATAAACCTGTCACATATCATAAGGAGTCCTAAGTAGCCATTATTTTTAATTGAAAGGGTAAGGGCAAGTAGGAATATAAATATAATATCAGATATGTCAATAAGGGTGTATAAATTGCTCAACCAGAAAATGCAGCACAGACCTGCCAAACTAGGTAGGAGGAAATTCAGAAACAGTGTCTCCATTACATTTTATTCTGAAATGTTCTGAATAATATGTATCTTAGTTACAATAAATCATTCATACATTGTTATATCAGATCTTTTAAAAAGCTCCAGATACCAATACCAGTAACGTCCTGGAAACTCAGTACTCCTCGGGCCGTAGTCAAAAGCCAGAAAGTTTGGCAAACACACCTGAGTCGGTCGACCACCTGATCGATGTCAGTTACATTCAGCTTGTCTCTCATTGCCTCGACCTCATCTTCAGCGTCGGACTGGACTGAGCAGCGGGAGCTCGGTCTGAAGGAGAAGGAAGTATAAAAAGTAAGAAAAACTAAACTCAGTAAATTATTCAAGTTCTGTTGTATGTTCTTTCTGACTTACCTGGCTTTATAATCAGCTTCTCCAGGGTTGGTATAGTTTCTGTAACGGCTGTCTAGGTGACTCAGGGCGTAGTCCACTGTCTGAGGTTTGTACCGAGACAGGAGCTCCTCACCGTTCCTGTAGCAACAGCACCCAAAAAAATACTTTACATTACATCATCAGTTAGTTTACTGTATCTGCAGCAAGTGAATGCAAGCCTATAGACTCAGTGAATGTGTAAATATCAGACATATGAAATAAAAACCTTCCTATCCTTAGTTTGGAGTTTGTAATGTCTTACAGCTGTTATCTTTATTTATATTAAATACATTTATTGTATTCTTGTTTTAAAATGTACTCTTTCATCCGTGTCATTTTATATTAATTGTATATCTGCCTCACTGTTTTTTGCTGATTGTAGTGTACTGAAAATAAACTTAAAAGGACATTTAATCGCACTTACCCTTATAAAAACTCCCAAACAAATAAACGTTGATCGATTCATCGAATGATTGAATTACAAATGTTCATATTGCTGCTTCATGCAGGCTGGTCTGTTGGTGTTTTCAGTTACAAAATGGCTGTCTTTGCATTTACTAGAACTGTGTTATTAGAGCTGGGCTCATTTGACTACATCTAATGATTATCTTGAAGTAAAACAAATCCCAGGGATGAAAAGATAACCAGCAGCAGGAATATATTTTCTGAATGACCACTGGCAGAGAAAGACACAAGCAGATGGTGTAGGCAGCAGCAGGCGGGGCGACAGCATGGTCAGCGCTGCTTCATTTTAAAGTCTCTATATGAGGGAAAATGCTTCTTTTTTTTAGCCACGCAGACAATGACATTTAGGCATGGGTGTGGGTGGATAGCTGAGGCATCGGGACCACACAGAAGAAAGCCAATAAGATAAATCAGTTGACTTTTACAAGGTACACTCCCATTTTCACAAGTGGTTCAAATCATGAGCTATTTTTACACCCTCCACCTGTTGATGTGGCTTTGAGAAATTAGTGAGTGGGGTCTTCGCTACACATGTAGAGAAGTGTTCTTGGTCAATTACATCAAGACCATGCACACATGCAAACTATTTTTGGCGGCCTCTATCTCGATGCTTTGGCAATATTCTCCTCAGTTTTCATGGTAACAAAGCGTATTGAATCAAACCCAATTGACAAACAGAGGGCTGTAGAGCATTTTAAAAAGGAAGTGTTATATCGAGGAAATGTGTTGGGCTAGCTCCTAAGTCATTTGACTGATATACACTCAGGACTTAGTCTAATTCAATCTTCAAAGGCCTGAAACACACACCGTGCAGCACATTGCATCAAGGTCAACAAGCATACCAACGCTAACCTCATAAAGATAAAGCAATTTGTGCTGGCACACTCCGAGTGGCACAAATACTTTTTTCATAGTGCTTCTTATAACAATGGGCTATATTTCTCCCTCCGAAACTCTCTCACTGAATCTCATTGTGTTTCTTTTACATCCCGGCCAGGCGGCCACAGCACTTTAGAAGAGTGACTTGTGGGATCTTGTAAGGTCTCTTGCTCAGTGACACTTTAATACAAAAACAGTGCTGTTGTGGGCATCAGACCTGTGGCCTTAGAGATATTGTCAGTTTATACTTTAGAAACACGATGGTAGAATACATTAAATCACATTAAATAGGATGTCAACAAATTGACAGGCCGTAAATGCTTTGTCACAAAACGGAAAACAATCCATCTTATCTTGTGCTTTTCCCTAAAAGGCCTACGCAAGACCTGAGGTGACACAGGGCAACATTCCTGGCAGCATCGAGCCGGTTGCTACGCTAAATACTAGCTCATATATACTCGGACCTCCGCACTAAAACACATTGAATACTTAAGTGAGGCCTTTTTCTAAGGTTATCTAAAGATGAAGGGCAATTTCACTAAACGGATCTACCCTGCCACTAGAACCACATTCCTCAGAGTATTTAATACATGTTTTTTATCGCTTCACGTTTATCACTGCCCTGAGCTTTAAGATTAACTGTAGAAATTAAACCATCAGCAATTAGAAAGTTTTATCACAGCCTCTTGACTGTGCTTAATAAGAAACAGACACAAGCTTAATTGTAACTGTGTGCACTTCACTGACAAACCACTAAATAAAGGGCAGTTTTACAGATTCTTTAACATACCTCACAATTTAGGTTTCATTTAGCTTTCCATTTACGGTAAACACATTTATTTAATCCAATAAAGACAGGAGGAACTGTGTCTTTAAAATCTAGTGTTTGTTAGCATTTGGTGTGGAATGCATGGAAGTCTGCCTCCTATAATTGTCCCATTGTTCCTCAATTCCTAAACCAGTTTGCAACATCCCAAAGCCGAAAACCTTTGTTGCTCTGCTTTCCATCCCATTTTTAAGTGACATGGGAACACAATATAGCTTTTTATAGCACCCTTTGTTGGGGGGAATGACGTAGAGAGTGTGAGAGCTGTGTCTTAACCTACTTATCCTTACTGTGTTGTGGCTTGGGAAAAAGCCACACTTAGAAATTAGGTCAAAGCGAGAAATGGCATTCATTGAATATGAGGGAAATACATAATTCAAACGTCTAATCTAATGGCTGATCATGCATCTGGAAGTAAACTAATTTATGAAGCCTGTAGCTGTTAAACATTTACAAATCAAATCAAGAAGTGAAAAGTATATTTCCAAGACTTGTTTCAAAATGTTATATTTCGTGCATTTAGTTTAACTAATGACTGAGAGGTGACTGTCATATAGTGTGCAACTAAATAAAGCTTTTTAAGATCAAATCTGTAGTAGGGTGAACTAATCTAGCACTTTTATAAAACCACATTCCTCCTCAACAATGGTTAATGTCGAGATTTCTCTTGTTTCCAAAATATATTTGTTACCATTTGAATTTATTTATCCCCACTTTGTCCAAAAACAAAAGCAGCACACAAAGAAATTCATCATAGGTTGGGCATCTTTGGTAAAGACGTGTTATAAAATATGAATAATGAACTTACATTTTTCAAACATAGTTAAACTGTTTCTTTATGACCCCCCCCCCCCCCCCCCCCCCCCCGTGTTGTACAAGTAGGCACACAATAAAGCCCAATCTGTGCAAAGGACAATTAAACATACCTTTCAATAACTCACTAATACTGCATGGTAGAGTGTGTGTGATGTTACACCTACCCTCCCTCTCTGCTGGCTCTCTCTCTCAGAGTGTGTAGTAACATCTTGACCTCGGCTCTCACCAGCTCTTTGACTGCAGGGGGGTCGGCTAAAGGGAGTGGGGTCCCGTTCTTGCTGCCGTTTATTCCTCGTCGCTTCCTTTGCCACATCTTGTACTGAATCTCCGCCTGAAAATATTAGAGAAGTGGTTGTATATAAAATAATTTTAAAAAGAACACATTGAAACACCAACACACTTTTGTATCAGTCCATGTGACACATACATATTTTTTTATTTGATTAAGTGAACCACTTTTTAAAAGTTGAGTGGACAGTCCACATAAAATAAGCAATAATCTAATTAAATTAAAGCATTTATCCATCATTTAGTGAGGATTATTTTATGATTTTAATTGAGACTCACTTAGACAACATCTGAAAATAATCTGTGGAAAAAGGAATTATGCTGTGAGTGTGTAGGTACAGGATTCCTCTCACTCACTGTCAAATGAACACGACTTTGTTTGTATTTACAGGATTTAGAGTCATTGTTGACCAAGTTATCTCCAAAGATATCCTGGCCTGATATGGAATAAAAAAGAAATGGAGCTGAATATATTCCTTTTTTATTTTGTATCATCAAAAATCTAACTATTGAAATGTTCAAATAATAAAATATTTGAGGTAGAAATATCCATTAAACGAAAAAGGTTACCACTAACTAGTGAACATACTGACACAATGCTATAATGTAACTCCCTTTTTCATTACACATTGTCTTTGTTGAACAGGATACAATAAACAGAAAGACTAAACTGTCTTTTAACCAATATATGTTTTCTGAAAAGAGTAACATCGGAACAACAAGTCCTTCTTATATGGCATACACAACTGTTTCCTTTAAAATAATAATATACATAAATCCCTAATATGTCTGTAATTGTAGAAACACTTCAGTAGCACAGACTGAGCTTGATGAACTCTAGGTTGCCATGTCTTTAGACAAACAGCCCTGTTGGCTGCGGGAACAGGCGGCTTCTTAGTCTGTGTCATTCTGCTACAGTAGGATTATCACAGCAGGTCAAGGAAATGTGATTTCTTTTTTTTTTTTAAAAGGTCAACCTTAATGCCTGACTATCTGGTTGAAGTAGGTTTACTTTTATACCCAGCACCTCATTTGTGCCTTTTCACATAAACACGCACACAAAAATGTCACCATAATCCAAGAGAAACATTTGTAAAATAAGAAAAGACGTTAAAAAGGTGTGTGTGAATGATTGTGTGTATGTGTCTCAGCGAAGTCTGGATACCATTAGCACCTCCCCACCTGTTGCCTGCCGATCATTTCTGTCATGTTGCAGTCAAAGACTTCACTTCAAAGGAATACACTAGAGGATACTGAACACGCGGCTTCTGGTCTTTCCACGTGTGCTGATGTGTGTGCGGCCACTCACATACCAGCATTCGCACACTGTGAATACACACACACACACACACACAGCAGTTTTCCCTAACACTGGCTTCCTGTGTCTGTCTTCAGGTGTTTATGTTTCATGGCTCACCAGCTAACAAGTTGTTCCTGGATCTTATTTCTTTCTCCCTGAGCTGTGATCTCGTCCAGGAGCTATTTTCAGTGAGCGCTGTTGAAACGTATTAGTTTAAAAAAACCTTCTAAAAGCTGAATTATTTAATATATTTAACTTAAAGGGCTAATTTGCATTCCGAGCAGAGAGACAGTAGAGTGAAAGTCTGGAGGGAGGTACTGAGAGATTGGCCTTGTACAGAGGCTTGAAAAGAGAGGCTAATGTTTCCTCTGATCTAACCGCCGGAGACAATGGAGGCCTTGATGAAGGCCGGAATGGCAATGTCGAGTAATGGAGGAGTCGTGCGCAGATAAACTATTACTTTTCACAGTGGTTCACTGAGGTATGGAATTCATTACAAGGCTGACAGACAAAAAAGGAAAGAAAAAGAAAAGGAAGTGATCCACCCTGCAGTAAATGTAATAACTTAAGGAGTAGAATAAGGTGCTTTTTTTTTCTTCCGTTTTCTAGAAATTTCTTAAAGCTCTCAGCCTAAGTCTTTATTTCCGTCTGAGAGTTTAGCTGCCAACCATTGCATTCACTGAACTGTAGGTGAAAAAAACCTCAGAGCAATACTGAAAGTCACACACATCACATGGTATACATATGCACACACTTACACTATATTTACTACACACACACATCAGAGTCAAAGAAAATGTGTTGCTAACGGTCTTATCAACAGTTGCGGATTAGCCTCTTTAACCCGGTTATAGCAAACCCCTGACTCACTAAGCTTACTGGGTTTTGTGTGTGTGTGTGTGTGTGTGTGTGTGTGTGTGTGTGTGTGTGTGTGTGTGTGTGTGTGTGTGTGTGTGTGTGTGTGTGTGCTGAATTTCTCCACAACATTCTGGTTTCACTTCAAGTGTATTGCTTCTTTGATAAGTGCTTTAAATCAAATTGTTTTAATGTAGGTAGACATTTAATTTGAGAATGTAATTGTGAATTGAGTATGAGAGTGTGTGCATGCCTGTGTGTGTGGGTAAGAGGAAGGGATTGTTTTATGCTTACATGTAACATTTAAAAATATTAACTGTCACGAAAATAATATGTGGTCAGCGAGACAGACTTTGTCAACATGTTTTTCTGCAAACAGCCCCTGGCCTGTGGGCCCGCTGCAGACCGATAACATCTACAGATGGAGAGATTTCACCAAAGAACACAGTAAAGACGGAACAACAGAAGTGGGCACCGGTAGGAGAATAGATTTTGCAAAGAAGACGGAAAGAGAAGGGGAGAGAGGCTCTGTTGTATCTTAATCAAAACAAAACAGAGAAATTGAAAACCCATAGAAAGTGCTGATTAAAGAAACTCATTGTGAAATCTACAGCTACACACTTGGTCTTAAGTGCAACATGGCATGACGTCGCTTATGTAACTCAGATGGAAAGGAATGTTTCTGCAGTAGACTAGGCCGCATTTCCCCATATTTAAATTAATGGTAAACCACTGAGCCCTTTTTAATGCACTGTAACATTTGAGTTCATTTAGAGCTAAAATGATTTGTTGATAAGTTCATCAGCAGGGAACCATTTTCATTTAAAAAAAAAAAACTTTTGTCTCTGCCTTTCACTGTTTTGTCATCATAAGGTTTATTGAATACCTTCAGGTTATGGATTAGAAGTTGGAATAAAAAACAATACATTGAATGATGTGAGTTTCAGCTCTTGGAACTTATGATAGGCAATTTTATTTAATTAAATATTTGTGACCACACTTAAGGAGTCATCATGCTTTTCTTTAGAATTGAATAGCCGTAACCTTGATTTGACGAGCAGTGGATGTTTCCAATAGCCCTGCAAGTCTTTCTTTAGTGAGGTCATTTTGAGTACTTTTCATGCAAGAGGGTTGGGGGCAGAGAGTTTTGCTCGCCTAAAGAAAATATTGATGTCTGTCTGCCTATTTCACATTTGGACTACATTTCAGCGTAGTGCCAGTTAACCCATAATTCACTTTTATTAGGAAGTCTAGGAATGAAGGCGTGTATAAAGACCAACTAAACTACGTACATAACACAACCCAGCAGATCATAAATTGTTGCTAAGGATTGCTGAGCAGAGCAGATTGTCCGGAAATGGAACTAAAACGAAAATGATTGTAAATGGTCTGGTGGTATTCTTGTGAGACCCTATAACATTCAGTGTTTCAATTTTTAGAACCAAGAAAACAAGAATGATGAAACAAGCTGTACCTGCTGCTGAAGAGAAATGTTCCAACTTAAAAACATGTGAATTGTAAAGCTAAAAAAAACAGTGGAGGGATGAAACTCACCTCAGTGTGCACCTCTATGTACATGTCAACTACAGAGTAGCCCAGTGCTGTGTGGATCTTACGCAGCTCTGACTCAGGAACATGCTCAGTGATCAGGTTCCACAGGGACTGGCCGGGGCACCAGAGCTGGTTTCCATCAGGAGACTGCATAGGAATGGTAATCTAGGAATAAAGAAACAAAAAAGAAGCTGAAATGAAATATAATGTAGCTAGAGGAAACCAATTTCAACACTGGTAGTGTTATTATTACAGTTTTATGCAAACTGTAATAAGTTTTGCCCGACTACATTACATTGATAGTAACTTTGCTGATTCTTTAAGATTTAACTGAACATTTGCTATTAATCTTGTAAAATATCATTGCTATGTGTATAGTTTTACATTGAGCTCTACTTGTAATGGAGCATTTTCTGTAATACTAACTATATTTAAGTTGAATATTGTGGTAATTGACATTGGCACTACAATATCTAAATATTTCTCTCACAACTTCTGCACACATAAAAGGTTTAAAGGGCATGAAGCTGCACTGCATGGATAAAAAGATACAAAATACCATGTTACTTTCTCTAGTTTTGTCCACAACAACTGTATGTTGTTAGCAAAACTTTAGCATTGTTAGCTAATTGACAAACAGGTGAACTACCCGTCTTCTCAGGAAGGCTAGCGTGTTCATTTTCCAAAACACGAGGTGTACAAAGTGTATTTCTAACACCAACAAACACATGATAAACTGCTTGTGTATAACTCGTTTTAGACATTTCAGAATATGCGTTTGTAATGTTGCTTAAAAGGAAAAAACATGCTCACCCAATCTTGAATCTAGCAAGGCTGTGGTATCCAGGGTAAACATTCCAGTTGCCATGGGAAGTTATCGCGAGATCTGCCTTAACTGTCAACAGTTGGTTTACTTTTATTAAGAGAACACTCAACAATGTTTTCCCCTATTTTTCCCACCGTTTGTTGTTGTTTCTTGTTTATTTTGCTTTTCAAAATGACAGTGTCATGAATTATCTATAATTGATATTATTATATGCTTTGTATACTTTAGTAATTGCCCATAGTCAACACACTAGACCCCCTGGAGTCTCATAAAAGTCTGACTGCACTAATATTCTTCAAGATGTTAAATTGGGTGGAGGGAAAGACTTCAGCTGAGACTGGCGTGTGAACTCTCGGAGAAGCAGTGAATATAAAACTTTCCCTCTTTATGCCCCCCAACCTCCACCCCTTTCCGGGCTCTCTCCAGAGGTCTGCTCAGCATCAGCGGAGGACTGAGGTAACGCCAAGGACTTTTGCGTTCAGTAACAATGTAAAATAACTCTCGCAATCTCTCTCCCAAATCCCAGCTGGACTACAGTGGATGTTTCTTGTTAACCTGGTCTATTTGTTATCACATAATTCACTATGGTTTTCAGTGGGAGCCCTCCCTTGGAGCGCAGAATACGCACGGTCGTTTTGGCACTATTTCTTTGCGCACAGGCCGGTTTTGGTTTCTCAGTCGCCGGACAGGATGGCACCTGCGAGGCCAACGGGAGCATATACTTCGTGGGGGAATGGTATTTTCTGGAATCTGATCACTGCACCCAGTGTGAATGCACCAGTGAGGGCTCTGCATGTTCCCGCACTGAGTGCACCTCTCTCCCGGATGCATGCATCCATGTGAGCCACTACCCGACCGACTGCTGCCCCAGGTGCGAGAAGATCGGGTGTGAGTACCGAGGAGTGGTGTACGACCTGGGGCAGAACTTCCAGGTAAGCCTGTAAGCTTTGAAACTAGCAAAGATAGTGCTTCCAGTATAGATGGGGAATGCATGTCCCCATTTATAATATTGTACATTTAGGGCTTTAAATGTTTAAGGTTACTTACATTTTTCCCTTCTTGAAAGTCAGGTCTAAAGAAAAATGTAAGCAGCCAAGGAGTTTTTGTCATAATAACCCAATCACACATAACAACTAAAGGTGAGCAGCACTGTTTATGTGTAAACCTCAGTTCCCTTTATACAGGTATCAGCCTGTTCTGCAATCCTGTGTAACTATGCATAAGCATATATTTCAACAATGTATCTGATTTCACAAGCTTGCAGGTTATAATCATAAGTAGGCCTATGTAAGCCAAATGATATATTGTTCAGGGTATTTCCGTGCAGAACTCTGATCCAATAAATTACTGTCTGGTATGTTGGTATGTAATTTGAGTATAGTCTGAAATTGAAGGTAACTAGCGCCCCCTTTTGAGATGGCATGAAAAGGGCTTGGTGAGAGATGCTGGTTGTGAAAATAATCAATGCTGTTTCTCACTGTTTGTGTGTTTTCCCAGCCATCAGAATGTGAGCAGTGCACTTGTGACAGTGATGGTATCGCCCGCTGTCTAGTTGCAGATTGTGCCCCGCCACCATGTGTCAACCCCAATTACCAGCCTGGGAAATGCTGCCCTGAATGCAAGGAGGGTAAGTTTGGAATAGCATTAAAACAGTTAGAATGTAAGTTTAAGAATAAACAATAAAGCACAAAGGGCCTCTTAGAGATGCCACAGGAGATTTATCTCCTCTATTGTATGAACAAACCCCACTGTTTTATCACCACGGGAAAGCAGTTCAACAATAAAGTTGCAAAGTCTAAGATGACCTTAGCCATTCCTTATTGCTACCACCCTCAGGACAGATGCAAAGAGTCCCCTGTGCAAAGAAAAACCTCTCAAAGAATATGTTTGAACATAAAATATCTTAATCAGTTAGGACAGCTGCTTTTGGAAGGCAGTTTTCTCGACAGCACTTCTCATTTTATATCTATTTATTTAACCTTGATTCAGACCTCACCATGGGGTATGTGGTGCTCATTTTAATGTAGCTTCAATTGTAAAATAATTTGGTGGGAATGCTGACACAGCATTCCAACTATCTGTTATGCTATGTACGCACACAATTCTTTATTATTCCGCCGGGTTATTTTAGGCCTCTTCTTCTCCCACATTGAACATCGCAGAAACTCCGTTAAAACATCAAAACGTTCAGCTCGGTCGGGAATCGATGGCTATTACTTTTATCATTCATACATTTCATAATTTCAGAGATACATCCCATAATTCATTACATTTTTAATATGGAAGTCAATGGAGAAACTCTTCAGACTTCAACAATCTGCATGCAACTTCAACTGCTAACTGCTCCTTCATACCTTCACTCAGAAACCACATTCCAACTTTAAAATGTTACACATCTTTCTGACATTATTCGTGTAACACAACTTTTAAATCTGATTCGTACTTTTAGAGATATTAAACATTGTTCAGACCTTGTTTTAGAGGTTTTCTTCAGATTTTAGAGTGCGTGATGTCACAGAGTGGAGGACAAATTTAATTTTGCCTTCATATTTTCTTTTAAACCTGCCATAATTCCCAAACCCTTCCTGAGACATCATTTTTCACGAGAAACGTAGGAAAACATCTCGTAGCTTGAAAAATAAAATAAAAATAAGCAAAAATAATTAAACAAAATGCCTCTTGAGGGCATGAAGTGACAAAAACGTTCAACATGTCTCCATTAAGCCCCATTGTAAATTCAGCCTCATCTTTCCCCACCACAGCAGCCGCACACCTTTAGTTAATCTGCCAAAAAGACCACATTATTAACCCGAAAGTACACAAAAAGTACACTTCAGATGCTCAAGTTCCTTGAGATGCTTCACGCTTTGAAATTTCACCGATATCTGTTACGGTTCTTCCACAAAACGTTCACATGTACGAGGTTTATCTCTCATTCAGAACAATGGAAACCTTTGATCTCTGGACACCTCGTTAGCTCAAATATACACCTGGAACACGATGATGTCATAACTCCAACTGACATGCTCAGAGCAGCAGACTTCAGATAATGGTTAATGGTCCTGCCCTCAACAGCTCTACGTCAATTATGGGGTGTCTTCATATGCCGTTTCCATGGAAACGCATCCCTCGCCATAAAACACGATGTCGCTGTAACTCCAATGGACACGGTCCGATCGTCCCCCAAACTTCACTTGTATGTCACCGGTCCATGCCGCAACAGCTTTACGCCAAATCTGAGATCTCACCATAGGCTGTTGCCATGGAAACGCATCCCTCGCCATAAAACACGATGTCACTGTAGCTCCAATGGACACGGTCCGGTCGTCCCACAATCTTCACCTGTATATCACCTCTCCATGCCCCAACAGCTCTACGTCAAATCTGACATCTCACCATATGCCGTTTCCATGGAAACGCATCCCGCGCTATAAAACACGATGTTGCCGTAACACCTATGAAAAGGGTCAAAACAGCACTAGACTTCAGATAATGGTTAACGGTCCAGCCCTCAACAGCTCTACGTCAATTATCGGGTGTTATCATATGCCGTTTCCATCTAAACGCATCCCTTGCCATAAAATACGATGTTGCTATAACTCCTATGAAAATGTGCAAAAAGTGCTCAAACTTCACATGTGTGCTAACAGTCCAGCCATGAAGACGGCAAACGGGACAGTTTTGAGATTTCTTCAATTGCCGTTGCCATGGCAACACAATGCTCACCATGAAACACGGTCTTCTCATAACTTCAGTGAAAATGCTCCAAACGGCCCAAAACTTCACAGGTTTGGTAACGATGCAGCCATCAACGCATCTAAGCGTATTATGGGATGTCATCAAATGCCGTTGGCATGGCGACAGATCATTCGCTATTAAGTTAGTTCAAAAGTTTGCCGTTCAATTATTCTGCTGCTTTTCCAAGCCTTTTTACTTTATTTTCTTCTCTCATCACACATTCAAGCCCCCATTTCAATCTAAATTCTTCACTTTCTTCTTATACATTACATTTCAGCATAGCAGTTTAGCGTCAGCTTTTCAGCATAAAGCATTCCCACTAGCAATTTCTTCAGGAATTGCATTCTCTAGTGTTTTTTAATGTGTCCTGAATGGATGTGATGTGTCTTTTAATGTGCCCTTTATAGACCAGTTTTGCACATGCAAACCAAAAACACATGTATGCTCTTTGCATACAGAAAGTGAACAATAAAGTATTTAATCTCTGTTAAATGTAATTCAATTGCATTAGATAATTTGCATTGGATGAGTTTGTTTGATTGTACACTATGTGCATCTCAATATCTTCTAGCTGCAGTTATATACCTCTGCTGTTCCTCTCCCTGCAGGTCCTAATTGCTACGTGAATGCATCCCGCAGCCAGGTGATTCCTGCAGGAGAGCCCATCTGGGTCGACTCCTGCACCAAGTGCCGCTGTCACGATGGCCAGGATGCCGGCTTCTGGGAGGGAAACCGCCTCGCCTCCTGCTCCCGCCTCAAAAACTGTACGCCTGAACAACCATCCGTCAAGAAAAACTGATTCACTCTGTCAGCAGAATATACAATCCCCCGATGTCTGATCAACTTCCATCTCTAAAAACATTCTCTTTTGCAGCTGAAAAGGGATTATCTGCAACTTCCAAAAGCCATCAAAGCAGATTAGCTCCCATTCAACAAGGAGTTTTGTTCGTTTAACATTTCTGCAACATTGATGAGACCCATTGAGTTTGTGCAAAGTACAATATGAACAAATTAATTATTATCTAAAAGCATGGTCCTGTCATGTGGATGGGCTCTGAGTCCATACCTTTAGTTTACTTTGTGTTGTGCTTCCATGGTGCATATTCCCATATTAAGTTGTGTTCTATCCAACTAACTAACACAAAGACACATGTTGGCAGGATAAACAGTGCATACAGGCTGGTACAGTAAGTGAAAGATCAGTAGGCCCCCTAATAACCTAATACGGCTATATCTATGTGAAGAAACACAGACAATACGTTATCATTAGTTAAAGAACTGAATTGTAGTTCTTGAAAACCATTGAAAACAGTGAAGGAAAACAGGATTAAATCTCCTCCAATTCAATAATATGGAAGGCAGTATTGTCAAATAAGACGTTGGATGTATAGGGCCTGACCTTCAGCCCCCGAGCTTGCTGTTACATCTGTATTCATAAACAAAACCCATAATCAAACAAATATGGTTTTCAAAAAGAAAACCTAATACAAACAAGCTTAACTCTTGAAACATTCTCTGAACCAAAATTCAGATATTTACAGTTTTTTATTTTGTCTGCCTGGCCATGGTTTCTTCAAAAAGTCTAGGAGTTAATGTGCGAGTAAGCTTTTGTAGAGTTCTTTTTTTTATTCTGACAACAAAGCCAATGAGATTATTTGATGATAAAACATTTGTAATTGACTCGTCACGGGTTGATGCGCCAGCCTAATGAATGAATAGCTGTGATGCAATTTAGACTAGGAAATGGCTTAGCAAAGGGATTAACAATTTGTAACAGTCGTATAAATTCTGCAGTTCAATTTTCAGGCACATTGAAATATAACTCATATGACTATGGCCTAACATAATTATGACTATACAGTAGTTTATAGGCACAAGCAATGTTTGTTGTGCATGTACTGTAGAAAAAACATCTTTAATTATCTGCTTTATAAGTTATCGACTAGAACATAGACATAGAAACAACCTTTTGATATTTCCACTCTTTTCAAAATGTACAGTTGTCATTTACCTTTATAAGAAAGATATCTGAATTGTTTTATGTAGTTTTATATGCAGCAGATATTCCTACTGTTATTTGTCAATATCTAACCACTTAAATCATGAGGGACCTTTAAATGAAAACCAAAAATAAACCAGTCTTGTTATATGTTTATGTGTAGCGTTGGAGCTTTGAATCGCGTTTTTTAAACATAGTCTTAAGTATAAGACTCCCAAGTGCTGCTGAAGTATATCATTACACCTGACACAATTCGCTGCATTAAATCTCCGTGAAAAGCCTCTTTCAGTAAGGTTTGGGATTACATTTTAAACTTGTAGGGTTATGAACACCTTTTAAATCTTCATGAGACTTTGTGAATGAGTACATCCTTTCTACATTTATATTTTCCTGAGGAGATTGGTATTCAAACCAAAGTGAGTGAATATCACCCAATAATCTGAAAGACTCAAGGTTAAAGGAAAAGATTGACATTTGTGAAATACGCTTTGCTTTATCAGTGTTTCTGAGTGAGATGCGATGATTGAAACCACTCTCGGTGTAGTTCTCCTCATTTAACAATCTGCAAAAAAAATGTGGAGCTTTAATTTACTGCCTGTAATAAAAAGGGAACAAATATGAATCACACCAACAAATCATTTAGTGTAATATGCCGATACTATTCACCGGCATCTTGTAAAGTATTCCAAATCAAAACACCTTTCCATGTCCATTAAACACCTCTAACTCCGTGTTTTCCTTGAGTTGTGTCTTTTCACTTTATTTGAATGAGTTTGGCTCTGGTATCTCTGAGAGGACAGCATCTTCATTTCCCTGCAGACATTTTCTGCTGACAGTTTGTTTCCAGAGCAAAACCCTGCAAAACCATAAAAGGGTGAGAAAAGAAGTAGAACGTAAAAGAGCTTAACTTTGAAGCAATACAGAGTTGTTCATACTAATGGGAGGTTTGTATAACAGAGAAAATACAAGAGAAAATGAAGGACAGGAGTAAAGCTGAATGTAATCATAGCCACCGGGACCCTAGAAACAACAGAAATGTGAGTTGTCATGGAAACAGGATATAGGGTTGCCAAAAAGTGGCCATATTACATTATAAGGCTCTAGGATGCCATCAGATCCAGGTGAAAACTCATTTATAATGACATTTCTATTTATCCAGCAGTGTCTTCTTCAGTACCCTGGGAATAAAGAGTGACAACACCGTGAGGTAATCTTTAACCATCAGATTTATTGATTGTATAGAAAAAGTAGGTTTGATATGACGTAATGCATTCTATATAAGATATAACATTTTCAACATTCAATGTACAAAAAAAAACATAGCTAGAGATACAGTAAATGTTTAAAAACGCCCACAGGCCTAGAAGTCTCGTCTGCTCACTGCAACAAAAAAAAAAGTATTTGAAGAAAAGTGTTGCGAATACAGCACCTGAGGTGAGCTTGACAAGTAGAACAGCTTCAAAAGTCAAGAGTCTATTAAGAAACATCAAGCGCTCCTCATAGTGGCTTCCATCCTCAAGTGGATGAGATGTTTCAAATACTTTTTTTGCTGGAGTTTCGGCTGCTGTTCTTTTACATATCTCCCGTGTTTCTGTTAAATACACATTGGAGCCTCTCTTGTTATCCATTTGTTCCAATACCCGTGATTCCTCAGCTTTCTTCATGTAACTGACCCCATTAAGGGTTGCCTGTAATATTTGAGTAGCCTTAATGAAAAGGAATTCGTCTTAATCTTGAAGTTCAATTTGCATTATCATTTCTGCTGTGGAATGAGCTTTTAAAAGTAAAAAGGAATCAGGTCATCAGGGTTATATCACTTTTGGCTCGAGACATGGTTTTTTTTCTTGACCGAAACTTAATGAGCTGTAGGTGTAGGTAATGCAAGTGGGCCTTTAGCAGGAAGTGATACTCTAGAGCTGTGAGATGGAGGAAGCGGCTGATTCCAGAAATATTTCCCCCCATTTTAACGCACAACTTCAAATTTGGGAAATGTGTGTGTTCTTTAACCAGAAAGGGGGTTTTGAGGAAATCTCTCCCAAAAGTGTAACTGGAAGTTTCTGCTTGTTGTGAGTGTGCTTTGAAGCCATTAATTAAATACATATACATACTAGAAACTAAAAGTCAGGATATGTCGGCATATGCTGCTCCAATTCTAACCTATATGGAAGCAAAACACTAAAATCAATAGAGTGATCACTAGAGATTTCAAATACATGAGATGAATATGAGGAAAACAAGCATGACTGCATTAGAACTAACCTTTAAGAAGTGTTGTCACCTAAAATACCGCTTGAAAACAATGATTTTGAAGCAGGATATGTGGTGGATGTGAACACATCAGTAATATTGCACTTGTTAAGCTGTAAACAGTATAGAGAAGATATTTTATTGATTCTCAACAGGTAGTCTGCCCACTGAGGACACTTCAAATCACCAGATTATCAATGAAGGTGAAAAGAAAAAATGAGCAAAGGGGGGAAACAGAAGGATTCACAAATAGGGAAGTGTAGTGAGATAGAAAAATATAGATGCAGACAGTAAGTGGCACAGATTCAGAGAAACAAAGAGAGGCTCTGTCGATAGCTATTGAAAGAAGAAGCACCCTTGTGAGACACAGCTGTGCCTGAAGTGGGCCCTCCACAAAGCACAACAAAGTGCCATTGACACACACAGCCTGGACTGGCAGAGAAAGAAAGAAAAGGCAATGAAAGGCGAGATAATGCAAAGAAAAAAGGGAAGACTGTGTGAATGCATTTTGGGTGTGAGAGGCAGAGAGAGGAGTAATCAAACCGTCCAACAGGCTTTCAGCGAAGATAACGGAGAGCCAATCAGCAGGGAGCATTATCATTGTCTCGAGGCTGGGGAGGGGAGGCTATACTGTACATTATTTTTACCAAAATAAAAGCCCCAATTTGTCCTGAATGATACCTAATTCAAACAGGTGCCGCGTTGCTTAATCTTCAGCCTGTTTAACCATTTTCGATGGGTGAAAATATTTAAAAATGTACAAAACTGAAACAAATATTGTTTAATTTCTCGATTACATCTCAAAACACATATCTTCCTCGATTAATTTTGTACCCAAATCATAACTTTTAAATAAGAAATAACCGTCCCTGCTCCTTTAGTATCGATCACTTCTGAAGGCATCAGTTTGGTGTTTAGGCGTCAACAGTAGAGACAAGGAAAAATAAAACGAGGGAAGAAGAGTAATGTACAATACATGAGACAGTCAAAGGCTTCAATAAAGCGGATGGAGGAAGTCATGATCTAAGTTTTAGTTTGTGGACTTTTCACATGAGGAAAGTTATGAAAATGTAGCTATCATTAATGAAAAAGTGAGATAAAGTAGATTTGAATACAGAGCTGACAGCTGGTAATGATAACATCTGAAGCAGCAATAGAGATGTCAGTCAAACTGCTCAAACTCATTACTGTCTTAAAATTAACCATTTCCACCAGCAGAACAATATCGCCTTAACATTTCCTCTTTCCGGATATGATCATCTTTTTCTTAAAGATTTAGAGAAAATGATAGCACAGATAGTAAATGGATTGATTGAATTGAGATAATTAAAAATTAAAAAAACACTTTTTCCACTACTAATCTGGCGGTTCAGTTTAACCCCTTGCTGTCCAGTAAAGGTGGTAAATGTCAGATTTTTGTATGACTACTTAGTCAAATCAGTATCTTGGAGATAATTAATGCAACTCAATCTGTTTGCACCGTGTAGAGACAAAAATGTACATTTAAAGCCCAGATTACTAAAATAAATCTCTATTCTTTTTCAAGGGGGTGAAAGGAAACAAACAAAGCTTTCAGAAACCTAATCTCCAATTTGTGCCAAACATGGGTTTAGAATCACGACTGAGCTGTCAGTGTATCTCCGCCTTGTCTTCGGTTCCTTGATTTGATGACTTTCCCAAGGTGGTTCCACGTCATTGCATCCAGCACATGAGTTACTTCAAAAGTTCAGTTTCTGCTTCCAAAGTTTGAGTATATATATATATATGTATATAAAAAAGAGAACAAAAAGAGAGTTCTGGGGGTTTTGTTGCTGCTGACGAACATGTTGGATCAGCGTGTCCCAGCACAGTAGATGCAGGCACAATACACATTCATTAATTGATATCGGAGGATTTGATGAAGTACTTCGATCAAAACTCCCTGACAAAGATGTTAATATGAAATCATCTATTACCATCATTTGTAAAGATGAGCGTCAGCCGATTTCGTTGATAGGCAATCTTTCATGTACAAGTCTAAAGAGCATCACTGCATGTTTTCATATCGTGTTAATGTTATTCTCTTGACCATCACTGTGAATGCTTGGGAAATAGAATGTTTTTAAGCTTTTTTGTCCACCATGTTCATTATTCCTGATATTACATTTCCAATCCGGCAAACACCACGTCTCCTTTCTGTCTTTGTATCCATGAAAGAAACATTTTCCCTTCAGTTTATATGAACTTGGTCAAATATTCCAAGAATTTCCACTCGATGAAGGCGAATAATTCAAAACAGTTTCCAAAGTTTCAAATGCCGTTATTGTCTCATCTCTTAACTCCCAGAAAAATTCAATGTCCTCTGTCGATATGCCGCTGGACGACCTCCAGTTTTCAGAAGATTGGTAAATGAAAGACTCCAAGTATCAGCTTCCAAGTTTGAAGCCAACCTTTGGTCGGCCACTGATATTCAAGCTTTGCTCCACACTCTTTCAATCCTGAAGTCACTGATTGGCAAAGGTAGGAGCTGTGAAGCCAGTGGCTGCTTAAAACAGTTGGAAAGAGCCTGGGTCCTTGTTACAGAAATGGCAAACTCAAATTACAACAAAAAAAAAAGTAAAGAGGGAGAAAGAGATCATCAAGTGCTTGGGACTTTTCCCTCTCTCCTTTAACTCCTGCATCTTTCCAGATGTCTAGGATATGTGATCTCCTGATTTCCCTCTTCTGCTCATCTTTTTCCATCCTGGCAAAGCATGTCGACTTCCTGTCTGTTGCTCTCTAGCCCTTTATAGGCCGGGGCGGTGGTTTGCCGATCTCCACAGAGATATTTGTGTACAGAGCGTACCTCTTGAACTGAATCACTCTGTAGGTCAGAGAGCTGATCCCGTCCTTCTTCATCGTGTTCTTCGTGTTCTGGATTTTATTAAACCTGGAGGGTGGAAGACAAAGAGGTGAAAAAGAGAAATAAAGCACATCAACTTTATCGTGCAGACCAGTGCTTCTCAAAGCGTGGTCCGCGGACCACTGGTGGTCCGTGAGCGCCCCCTAGTGATCCGTGAGTATATTGGTACATTTCACATTTGAAATAAATAAATACATTTCAGTTTTCCGCACTCTCGCGGGAATATCTCCGCAATGGAGCGACGTTAAGTTTCACTTTTGATTGCATGATATAGCCCAGCGCAACACCTTCATCACACATGTTGCCACTTGTTTGTACCATTTTCAGGCGATTTGTAATCTGTTCTAGAAAAACGATGTGTTTTTTGATATTTGTGGAGTTAGGTGGTCCGCGAGTGTTTTTTTATTGGTTAAGTGGTCCTTGGTATGACAAAGTTTGAGAAACACTGGTGCAGACAGACAGGATACATCTCATTTAGTATAGTAGATCCAAAGGGCCAAAGACATTATAAATAAACACAACCCAAAACTTGAAATAAGTTCGATACATATAGGGAGTAAAAAGGTCATAAGTAAGTAATTAAACTACAACTGTCAAATGAATCCTAAACTATTTTTAAAGCATTATTTCTACAATAATAATTACCCCTGACTAGAACAAACTATTTGTTCTACTTCTACATAATTGTAGGTGTGCAATAACTTGAAAGCAAGAGAAGAAACAGTTACCTGGGGTTGTTTTTAATTGAAGTACACATGCAGTTACACACATGCAACACTGACTCTCTCCCCATTTTCAAATCACGCCTCAAAACATATCTCTTCACACTCGCATATCCACCCTGATCATTATCCATCACACATCCTCTGTTTTATTTATTTGATTTGTTGCATTGTCTTGTTTATGTTTCTTATGCTGGTGTTAGGTATTGTGTATCTTGTTTTTTTATGTGTTTGTACGGCGACCTTGAGAGCCTTGAAAGGCGCCTATATAAAATAAATGAATTATTATTATTATTATTAGTTATGATTACTATATAGATCTTGACCAGCAGGTGGTGCTATAGCGCTGCACAGTGACTCAGTGAACAGAATGATCCATCACATCCGCCTTGGTTTGTTTGAATTATGCGTGAATATCTATTTTCCATTGGCTGTGATTCAGCAGTTACAGTACGAATCTGCTCTTACATTACATTTTGCTTTGATTTGAGTGTACAAGATGAGAACATAATTCACATAGTTTGTCAGACTGTCTCATGATGCAACCTCTGACATTAAAACAGATTTACAACACTAATTCTCCTGTCGACCACGTTTAAGTATCAGTTTTTGAGACCAGTCATGATGGAAATGAGGCCACAGAGTGCATGCGTCCAACTGCATGTTTACAACACTCTCGTCTTTAAAATGCCACTTTCTTTGTGTGTGAACAGAGAAAGAGCTGATATGTGCAAACGCCCCGCCTCGCACATCGACTCTATAAATGACAGCCGTGACTGATGCTAAAGAAAAAGGCCTAATGATATGGTTGGAATAACAACTGGAGTTGACACTTCAGTCCAACATGGACCACAGAGTCAACAGAGCCTTGTCAGAACTGACTAGTGAAGATCTCTCTCCTTCCTCTGCATCACTTTCCCCTCTCGAAATTCCAATCAAAAAGAGTTTTATTGGCATGAATAGTGGCAGGAAAACATGTTGTCAAGCATCTTTCCCTTGAACAATTGACTACAATCAAAACATAAATAGAATAACTTGGTCTAATGCTTGCCAGTTCTTTCAGAAAGGGAAAAGACAATACGGTTAAGAGAAAGAGTGCAAGTAAAGGAAGGAAGGAGGGGAGGAAAAGAAAGCGGTTTAACGTGAAATTAGAGCTAGATGGCAGGGGAGAGAAATGGAGGATAGATAGATTTATCTCTGAGAAAGCGAGTGACAGATGGAGGGAGCAGATACACTGATATTAACAATAAAAGGAATGAGAAAAGAGAAATCTTTAGATGAATCTATCAGAAAGCGGAGATTAGCTGTAAAATAATCCCTATAGACTAAAGAGGATATCAAATGCATCTACTCAATCTGTAGGCTACTATCGTTTCAAACCTTTTGGTCTCATTTATCTTACTTTTATTTCAGAGAGTTAGAGGGCGAGACAAAGACATTCCCCCCTACATATTAATTAGCCTGATTTTCAGACAGAGTGCTAACTGGGTTAAGTAAAGCTCTATTTCAATTCCACTGAGGGTCTCACAGGGAAACAAATCTGGTTTAAGTTCTCAACGATAGCTCGTCATTGCCGCTATTTTAGCTTTTTTCTGGTGTGGTGTAGTTTATTCTGAGCTGGCTCACCTGACCTTGTTGTAGAATAATGTATCAAAGGAATAATTACACATTTTGGGAGGACACATTTATGGAGAAAAAGTGTGTCCTCCCAAAATGTGTAATGTCCTTCAGAGAGACGAAGATCGATCAGCTGGTTAGCTTGACTTAGCAAACATAAAGGGGGAAACAGCTGGCCTGGCTCTGTCTGTTTTTACTTTTCTTCATCCTTTAATTTTGACACAATTGTTAATTTGAGCAATACAAACTTTTTTAAAACATAAAAATTAGGATCATAAGAGAAACAAACAAGCTAACCTTCCTCCAAAATATGTCTTTCTATCCATTATGAATAATCACGCAAACATAACAACTAGTAAACTGATGTTCTCCTCAAATTCAGGGGTCTTTCACCCAGAGAAGGACTTCGAGAAGCTCTGTTCAGCATATATCATGATAATGAAGAAGACACAGCTCAGTAATTATGAGAAACTAAAATCAATTCCCAATAAAATGTGTTCTTAAAAACATAATCTTTAACTCAATCACAGTGAAGAATAATTGCAATTATGCCTCGCACATAGCCTACGACAAACAGTTAGCCTATGATATGTGATTGCGTATTGAAGTTATTCTCCTTTTTGTTATGGACCAATCTTGGTGCTCCACCCCCTTTTTGCCAATGGTAACATGTGAACTACTAACAAAGCAACCTTAAGAGCTAAAATGAGGTATAACATGTTAATGTGGGTGCTTTAGATGTGCTTGAAAGTGGATTCTGTAACCAGACCAGCGCTATCCACTTGTTTCCCGTCTTTATCCTAAGCTAAGCTAACTGGCTTTTTGTAGTACTTCATAAGTATATTAAAGCTATCTGATTGGTTTGAATCCTACTTAAAGGACAGAAACAACTTTGTTTCTATAGGTAAATACACATCTGAGTTGACAAATATGACATGTGGGGTTCCTCAAGGCTCCATCTTGGGGCCTCTTCTCTTTAACATCTACATGCTACCACTGGCTCAGATAATGAAGAACAACAAAATAAGTTACCATAGCTATGCAGATGACACACACATTTACGTAACAATTTCACCAGGAGACTATGCTCCAATTCAAACACTGAGTAGTGCATTGAACAAATCAATGACTGGATGTGTCAGAACTTTCTCCAATTAAACAAAGATAAAACTGAGGTAATGGTTTTTGGAGCCAAGGCAGAACGTATAAAAGTTAGCGCTGAGCTTCAGTCTGCAATGTTCAAAACAACAGATAAAGCCAGAAATCTAGGTGTAGTCATGGACTCTGACCTGAGTTTCAACAGTCACATTAAAACAGTTACTAAATCAGCCTACTATCACCTAAAGAATATATCTAGGATTAAAAGACTAATGTCACAGCAGGATTTGGAAAAACTTGTCCATGCTTTTATCTTCAGTAGACTCGACTACTGCAATGGTGTCTTCACAGGTCTCACTAAAAAATCTATTAGGAAGCTGCAGCTAATTCAGAACGCTGCTGCTCGAGTCCTCACTAACACTAAGAAAGTGGATCACATCACTCCAGTTCTGAAGTCTTTACACTGGCTTCCTGTGTGTCAAAGAATAGATTTCAAAATACTGCTGCTGGTTTATAAAGCACTGAATGGTTTAGGCCCAAAATACATTTCTGACCTCCTGCTAAATTATGAACCATCCAGATCTCTCAGGTCTTCAGGGACTGGTCAGCTTTCTGTCCCCAGAGTCAGAACTAAACATGGAGAAGCAGCGTTCAGTTATTATGCTCCAAATATCTGGAACAAACTCCCAGAAACCTGCAGGTCCGCTGCAACTCTGACTACTTTTAAATCCAGGCTGAAGACTTTTCTTTTTGTCGCTGCTTTTAATTGAACTATTCATATCTTAGACTGCACTGTAACTTTTATCCATGTATTTTTTCTTTTAATGTTTATTTTATTAGCTTTTCTTTTTAATGACTGATTTTAAATGCCATTTTCTTAATCTCTTTCATTTTTTGTAAAGCACTTTGAATTGCCTTGTGTTGGAAAGTGCTATATAAATAAACTTGCCTTGCCTTGCCTTGCCTTGCCTTGATGTTAGTATTTCCCAAAACTTTAAACTATTCCTGAAATGGATTCTGAATGAGACAGTAAACTTAAAGTTATGTTCGTGGTAAATACAATATTACAGAAGCCAGACACACACCCTGTATCTGCACTGTCCCAGGAGGATAACATATTAATAGAATATTGAACTAAGTTACCGAGCGACCAATTCATTTGCAATGCATGAAGTGCTGTTTTCCAGATAAAAAGTGTGTGTGTGTGTGTGTGTGTGTGTGTGTGTGTGTGTGTGTGTGTGTGTGTGTGTGTGTGCAAACTGATACCCGCGGCTGGTGATGAACGTGCCTCTTTCTTAGTTCCGCTATCCCAATATCTCATTGCTATGCCAAACCAGCCTCTCAACGAAAGTGCTGTGAGAATGGACTCCTTTGTGAGAGTGTTTGCATTTTGAGTGAATGTGTATTTAAATATATACATATATATGTGCATGTGGATGTGTGTATGCTGTGCTATGATCTAGTAACATTCATCAAACAGTCGAGACAACGCCTCCCATAGTAAACTCAACATTACACGTGTGCTCCCGATAGACTCTTCTAAAAGGCTCAATCATTAATCTGAATCCAAACAGAAAGGCAACCCTGCAC